CAAAGGAAAGACTGCAATTGAGTTTGATGGTTAATGCTAAAAGGGGGATTCAAAAAGTTTGGGGGGAAGGGGGGGTTTCCAATTTTTTTTTAAAAGGTTTCATATTTTTTTCTCAAAATTTTCAAAATTTCAAATTTTTGAAAAGTTTCTTGAAGAAATCTTCAATTGCACAGTATTACGCATTAGATTTGTAAGATCTTTGACCACATTTATTTTGTGTCAGAAACCTATATGATGTAAAAAATTTGATCACAAGCCAAATTCAGATAGTATCAAGCTTGAATATTGTGTCCAAATTTGCCCCAACTGTTCAGGGTTCGACCACTGCGTTTGTGAGCCAAAATTTGTTCCTGTGAAAAAGTTCCAGTGGAACTAATATCACAGGAAATATGTTCTGGGAGAACTTTTTTCACAGATGATTTCTATATAATTTGTTCCATCTCTATAAAATAAGTTCCACACTTTACTTGGTGAAATAAGTATACCGGGTTTATGAGATTTGTTCCTTATCTAGTGAAATAAGTTCTGGGTTAGTGAGATTTGTTCCTCACCTGGTGAGGGGCCTCGGTGGCCGAGTGGTCTAAGTAGTTACTACTGTAATCACTAGCCAGTCAACACTGAGGTTGTGAGTTCGAACCCCGCTCGTGCGGGTGCACTCGACTCCAATCTTAATTGACTAGGATTGTCAGTTTTCCTATCGAAGGTCGGTGGTTTTCTCCGGGCACTCTGGCTTCCTCCACCAATAAAAACTGGCCGCCACGAATTAGCCCAAAAGCGGTGCTTAAAAGTGGCGTTAAAACACCAAAAAAATCCAAAAAAAAAATCCTCACCTGGTGAAATAAGTTCCTTGTCTGTGAAATACGTTCCACTGGTTAAACAAGTTATCTTATATACTGAGCATTTGTCATCAGTGAGTTTAAAGTTATCATTCAAGTGCATTATAAAAATAAGTATTATATCAATAATAAAAAAAGTAAAAAGTGTAAATCATCCAATTCGCATCCTGTAGAGTATAGCAAATGTTTAATTATATACTCCGTAAAAAATATCAAAATGACACTTTTCAGCCAGAAAAGAGTAGAATAAGAAAAATCAATCATTCAGAAAAAAAAGTATAGTTAAAGATGAACATATGTACTTATTTGAAAAGGACAAAGTGACTGATCAGTTATATCAAAAGACATGTAGAAACAAAAGACACACTCTTTTGAAACTGTGCTATGACCTAAGTACATGTATGACTAGAACACGGGGCCATGACAGTTAACAAAAACCAAGGAGGAATACCACATAAAACATAAATACAAATTATGATACATTAACATTGCTTTTATTTCTTATCTTCATCCTTTAGTTACAGTCATGGCTTCAATTGCAAATGTATTCCATGCAAGCACACTCAGTACAGCACTCAGCTTGCATTATAATTTAAATGTAACAAGAAAATGTTTCGCTTGCAATTTGTTGCAAAGGTACTTATTTTCTGTGAAAATAGGTTTGAGCGGAACTTATTCATTGATTTCTATGAAATATGTACACGCTCGTTTAAAACAAATATCACAGGAACTTATTTAACTTTTTAAAACTCTTAATATTAATTGGAACAAAATTCATGGAGCTATGATTTTTGTTCTGGAACTTATTTCACATTGGGTCATAAAATTAGTTCTGGAACAAATTTTACAGTGCTGGAACATATTTTCTGTGATATAAAGTCTGGTGGAACATATTTCCTATGAAATTTGTTCCGGCAGAACAAATGTCACGCCGGAACAAATTTTTTGTTACACGTTCGTATCAGGCTGCGCTCAGCGAAGCATTTTATTAAGATTGGAGTTATCTTCCTTTGTCCATAATTGTAGTGGAATCAACTACAACCAATGCTTTATACTACAATGCAATGTTCACTGAAAATATTAAAACAATCTTTACCCTTCGGTGCTTACAAGCACTTTGATTAATGTTCTTCAGTTTTGTCCCTTTATAACTTTATATGATATGCAAGCGGGGGCATCATCTGTGTCCCATGGACACATTCCCCATTTATTTAAAATTGGGATCGTAGTAATACAATGAACACTAAATATCTCATTATTAACAAACAGCTTTTATTTGCAAGTCGTAATTCCATCTTGTAAAATATAGTATTGTATTCACTAAAATTCAACAATATAATCCACAATTTGTTTTCAGATGCAAATCATGGCTGAGTTTTTGTCATGGATAGTATCCATGTGGGTAAACACGAATATTTTCCATTGAGTCCCATTCCTCTTCTGTGCATCTACAAAATATCAAATGTGTTAACTGTGTGTGAGTCAGTGAATTCTATTGTAATACTGAACACATTAACATTATTCAATAATGAAAGTAAGAGAAAATATATTTCACATAAATATTTGATTTTAATTTTACCGTTTAAGATATCATTTCCTTGAAATATTTTGATTTTGCACAGCAAAAATCATTTGTTGCATTTTTATATATATATAAATTAAAAACACAAAAATTACTCGAATTGTTTCTACAATAATATTGTGGTTTAATAGAATAAAAAGGCCAAGAAACTGAAATGGTCAAATTGGTGTATTCGGTATTTTATTTGATTGTTCGTTGTTTTAATTTAAATATAGTACTTATGAATAAAATTTGAGGGGTATGGATAACATTTGGATTTTTGTTTCTAAAACTTTTTTGCCTCCTTTCTGATAATAGGGAAGAATGAAACATACTTTCAGTGTGCTTGTATTGCTATTTAAAAAAAAATGCATACAAGTTTTGTTCGTTGTAATTTAGCAAAGGGAACGACAAAATGTTGTGTTGTGTATGAAATACTGTTTTCTTGTTTCATTTTATTTCAACGAATAAAACGGTTTGAAATATAGAATCACATGTTGTTTTCGATATGAGTTTAAATTGAGCACACCGTTTTTAGTTAAATAACCTATACTAGAGTGTAACATACCTGGAAATTCATTCTAGTTGTATCATTTCTCTTTTCTCAGACGATTCTACATCCAATATTTATCAAACGAAAAACACATATAATCCATTAACATATATGCATAAATACTAGGTTTTTTTTTTACTCTCCCGAAATACCACTTAAAGACACAAAAAAATATCCTTTCAATCACACTACAAGAAAGAAGTGCGTATCCAATGACTTTAAACACAAATTTGAATGAACTTTATTCAAGATATTTTTAAAGTAATTATTCTACTGTTCATAAATACTTCGTTAAGTGAGTAGATGGTCAGCTTGATCTTACATTTTGCCTGCAGATTCTTGGGGAAAATGAAAAGAAAACCATTACAAAATTAAATAAAATTCTTTAAAATGATATAATCTGAAGATTCGTTCTTAATATTTCAGGTGTATTTTTAAGTTAGTGAAAGTCCAAATAACTGTCCATTCCTGGGAAATAATGGGCATCGGCCCTACAGGCCTCCGCTCCATTATTTCCCAGGAATGGACAGTTATTTGGACTTTCTCTATTACGTCACACAAAGAAATTTGCAGTTGTTCCTGCTGTTGTTTCCAGAAAAGTAATCTCTCCTTGCTTAAAGAAGCAGTACAACATATTTGCAATAACTAGATGCCAGAAAAAAGTGATTGATAGATACCCTAATATCTCTTTATCTTAATAATGCTCACACTGAAATGTCTCGTCTGTTTTTTAATTATAATCAAATTCATGTTGAAATTCTGTAATATGAAGGTTTTACTACAAGTATCGCATAAACCTTATATGATCAATGTTCTATGAAAATGAAGTCACAGTCAGATGAACCATGCCAGACAGACATGTACACTTTACAATCGTTCCATACACCAAATATAATTGACCTATTGCATATAATATCTGAAAAATAGACCAAGCCACAAAAACTAAACATTGTCCAATTAACCATGAAAATGAGATAAAAGTCAGATGAAACCTGCCAGACAGACATGTACACCTTAAAATCATTCCATATACCAAATATAGTGACCCTATTCCTTATAGTATCTGAGAAACAGACCAAACCACAAAAATTAAACATTGTCCAATGAACCATGAAAATGAGGTCAAGGACAATGGACATATATGACTTCGTAACATAAGGTATCTGTATACAAGGTATGAAGCATCCAGGTCTTCTACCTTCTGAAATATAAAGCTTTATACAAATAGTTTACCTTGCCGCCGCTGGATTGTAATCCGTATGTCTCACATTCTGCGACTTTTGTCACAGGTGAGACAAAAACTACTGCAATTACTATATCCAGTTTATCTGCATCGCAATAGAGTAGACTACAAAATCATATGTAAATATTGGTGATTTATAAGTTGCAAATTTAAAAAATTTGTAAGGGTTCCACAGAACCCAGTGTCTCGCCTACTTTTGCTGTTAGTCGCAGGCTCAACAAAAATGGGGATATAATTATTAAAAATTTTCCTCTAGATACTATCTTTTGAATGTAAGAAGCTTCTGTTCAAGTTTGGTAAGAATCCAGGATGGTTTATGAATCTAATAAATGTTTTAAAAACTTTAACTGCAGACTGTATGTAATGTTAACTGGAAGAAAAACTATGTCCATTTATAAGTAATATACGGAAAAACAGGATACTAGCTTTTGATCATAAACAAGCTTCTGTCCAAGTTTGGTACAAATCCAGGATAGTTTAAGAAAGTTATTAAAATTTTGAAAACTTTAACCACAGAGTGAATGTATTGTTAACTGGCAGAAAAACTAAGTCCATTTATGAGTAAAATACGGATAAACAGGATTTTTTTTTTTACAAAATTTACTTCTGGATACTATCTTATGATCATAAACAAGCTTCTGTCCAAGTATGGTAGAAATCCAGGATAGTTTAAGAAAGTTATTAAAATTTGAAAAACTTTAACCACAGAGTGAATATTTGTGGACGCCGCCACTGACGACAGAATGTAGGATCGCTATGTCTCGCTTTTGCGACAAAAGTCGCAGGCTCGACAAAAATGATCACACGTTTGCACATTTCATAACAATTTATTTTTTTTCATAGCTCTAACCAGCACCTTGAATCTCTAAACACCTGCTATATTCCACAGGAGCAACAGATATATTTTTTCATAATCTGCACTTTGAAAACAATGCCCCAATATATATTTTTTCACATTTACATTTGCATTTGTCTTTTGATGGAGACGAAAAAAATCTTTTTAAATATGTAAAATACACCATTTACATGCTACAATTATTTATACAGTTCATGTTTTTCTTTTAAAAAAAAATATGTTTACATAATTTTCTCATCCTTATTTTACTAACTGGCTAGAAAACATCTTTAAGTACATATTGTGTAAACATGAATCAGCCCTTTGATATCTTTCATTACAGGGGTATGTGTCTTAGCTGATCATTTTATATTTTTTTACGAGACATGAATAAGCCCAAGATACATGTCAAAGAAATTGTAAAAAATGCTATTAACTAAATACTCCAATAAGATAAAATGCATTGAATGATTTTAGAAAATGCCTAGTCAAGTGAAAAAGAATCATGCTAAAAATTACTTTTTCTTTCCTGCCTTCAGAAAAAAAAAGAATGTAAAAATTTTTGTTTTACTTTTTGACTGTAAAAATCTTGATCTGGATCAAATCAATAAATTCCAATATTAAGTATCCTTTTTCAAAGTCAGGGAAGATTTTTATAATCTCTTTTGAACAATAAACCAATAGTAAAGATGAAATTACCAGTAATACATATAGCATGTTTATGTGAAGTAAACATAGCAACAACAATCCAGATACAAATTTCCCTTATCAAGGCTTTTTGATATTCAAAATATATTCATCAATAAATACATTCTTAAACAACATTTATACAAAAAACATGACCGAATTTACAATTAAACAATATCATTAACATAAATAAAATCATAGTTTAGTCATAAATACAGTAACAGATTGTTTGCTGGCAAAACATGTATTTCTATGACTAGAATTCAACAACAAAGTAGCACAATTTTTTACACAGGTTGAACCTGTGTGTTCATGCACCAACAATAAAATAACAAATTAATTATCAAAAGATTATTCATAGAGTTTGCAGTAACAGATAAATACTGATGCATTAAACTAATTTAATATTTTAGGCAAAAATTTTAAGGGAGATAAACAAGCTGAATGCCATTAGAAAAAGCATATTTAAACACTAAACTGAAGGAAATATAACTTATTTACATTTTTCTTTTTTTTCTCCAGAGACAATGATGTAAATATACTTGTTGTAAAACATATAAATAGTTATGAAATATGAAAAATGAGATCAGATCAACTGTGTGAAAAGTACTATGTACTGAAAATGTTAAGCAACAGGAACTTCCTAATTCTTCATTTCTACAAAAACTTCAATGTTACTTTATATCAATATTTATTGAAGTTATTCAATTTAGTTACAATCATGTTACATAATGACATAAATAGCAAAAACGAAAAAAAGATCCTTTCCTGAATTTTAATGGACAATATAAAAAAAAAAAAAAAATTTTTTTTTGAAGAATTGTAGTCTTGATTTATATATTCAAATGTGGTACATGTATTTCAAAATCATCTAAATATCTTAATAAACAGTTGGTTGAGTGAATGTCAACAGAGTTTAGTTGACAACATACAAGTTCATAGAAATTACTGAACTTACTATATAGGCTTAAATTCTTTATCAATAAAACACTTCTTTCTGCAATATCCCTATTATATTTCAGATGATAAAGAAATATATCTATTAGATATGATATTTACTGAATGATGTCAAAACATATAGTATGATCCAAGATGAGATATCTTTTTTTAATAATAAACAAGAATGCATACCCACATTGTATTTTAAAGTATCAGAAAAGTGTAACGAAAATATTTTTAGTTGGACAAAAAAATGGATGGACAAGGTGAATGCCATATAGCCCCTAATATTCTGGTAATTCAAAGATATATGAAGCTAAAAAGACGGTAACTTTAAATACAGTGAAATTCTTTTATGGACAAATGTGAATTATATTTAGCCTCTTTAGTGTCACTTATTATACACAAATCTAAAGTTTTGACACAAGCCTTTCATCTTTTTAGAAAAAAAATATTAATCAAAGGAAAAAGGTAACACACTTCAAAGTTGAGTGTTTTTATCTAGCTTATAAAGAACAGGGTAGAAACAATATAAAATGAGAAACAACCATAACCTTTCAAAATATGTACAAATCCTACAGTAAGCACCCTAGACAAATGTTTAAAAATTTGTCGTATAGAGTCATCCGTTTAAGTCATAATAATTATATTCCTAGATTCTCCCCATCTTTGTTATAAACTAAGTAAGCGGGCAAATTTTTATATTTTACTTTACTTTTTTTGATAAAGAAGAAACTATTGGCCAAAAAAACTTTGCTGACCAAATTGATAAAAAAAAACCAATTTTTTCTATTTTCAATGGTCATGAATAACTGGACCATGTCGACATTATGCAATTGCTCACCCTATTTTGACCATCCCTATGTCTTCAGAACAAAAAATCAGTAAAATTTTATAAGAAAAAAAAATGAAAAGGAGCTTTTACTGCTAGCAAGAAGTTTAAGAATTTTATGGGATTATGTGAGAAATAAATGGAGAATGTGTCCATGGGACACAGATGATGCCCCCGCTTGTATATAACATTATAATGGGGCATAACTTGAGAACGGTAAAAGTGATGCCACCCAAATTCAAACTTGATCTGTCTTTTGTGGTAATAAGCATTATGTACAAGTTTCATAATATTTAAATGAGGCAAACTAAAGTTAGAGAATGGAAACCAATTCAGGGATGGATGTACAGACAGACAAGGGTAACACTTAGTGCTCCTTCTGGTGACAGCAGGGGCATAAAATCTTGAATACCATAATATCTTGTGAAAAATTTTTTTTTTTATTTTGGGCTGGCAATGAATGTTTCGGCAGATGAAATGAGAATCTAGGAATAATTTGATTATGGCTTTGCTGAAAAAGTGAGATACATTTATTCAATATGAATTATAAGCATATGCAGTTGACAGTGGAATGTTTAGTGAAAAATTGCGTAAACATATATATTATATTGCATAAAAATTATACATTTATATGTTAAATAAACAGGATAGGCTGCAGGCTAACCAATAATTCTTTTAAATACCTGTGTAGATTTAAACATAAAAAATCTTAAAAAAAAGTATTTTATTCAGTATGCCTTATTTTTCTTGTAGATATTTATGAAGAGAGTTACAGTATTTATATAAATGGTCATAAAAATCCTTTCATGTGAAACTGCTTTTGCTTACAGAAAGGACTGATTCATACAAATTGTGTGACAAGATTATTTAGAATGTTAAAGAAGCAATTTAAAAAACTGATAGGTAATAAAATCAAAATTATACAGCTCAATTAAAAAGGAATGGCAAAAATGTGAAAAAGTAGGTATCTGGGATAAGAATGACTGTTCTCGTGTTAAAGCACAATATAAATAAATAAACTGTGAAAGAAATTCACAAAAAACTATATTTGATGAGAAGATATATCAGGTGGTCTATTAAAAGATTGAGCAATTTCAAGAGAAGAACTTATGTTAACTTCAATGTAATACATTGCATGCATTCCATTAAAAGAAAAAAAGAAAACCTAAAAAAATAAATAATCTTGAGTGTTTAAGAAAGAAATAAACTTTGGTTTCAGAATAATTTTCAAAATGTTGTGCATCATAAAATATTTACTATTCAAGTTTACAGCAAAACCCATTATACAGCTGGAATTTCCTTTTTTACTTTTACAAATTTTATTTTTTACAAAATACATTTTTCTAACAACAATGTTCTTACATCATATCCACTCATTCACCACTATTATACAAGCAGTACCATGTGATCAAAAGAAATGAAATCTAAATAACAATGACATTATCTGGTCCCATAAACTTGAAGAAAAGGCACATTATAACAATTAACAGTAATGCACTTTTCTTAGCTTGTTAGAACACAGAATTGAACATAACTTCCATCCATCTTTTTTTTCGACAAATAGGAGGTAATTTAATGTTTACTTTTCTATTGACAAATATATCATATTCCAACCTATACTGTTTAGAAGACCATAAACTGAATTAAAATCAAAATCTTAAAGAAAAAATAATGTGAACATTGACTTCAGGACTGTAGAAATTAAAGAAGATAAAACTAAATTTATATTGATGTTGTTTCAGTTTATACAATGAAAAAAGAATGACATCTTCAAATAGAATTAACAATAAGCCAAAACCTGGCAGCTACTACAATATATGGAGGTATCTGTCATTTAATGACCTCTACTATAACAAAAATGTTTTAAGCTTTTTTTGGCTGAATATTTTTTTTAATACTTATTAGTTAACTGTAATTCAAATTTTTCACATTTTGGAACTCATTGATAGGTTGTCTGCAACAACATCTGTTATAGAAACAATTTGAACACAATGGCAGATCTCTAAACCTCTGTGGCCATTGGGCAAGGACTTGATCTTATGAGTTTTGATGAAATGGTTAGTCTCACATGGCAGCATAGTCTATTTGAACATAAAGCTGTTTCACTCCAATCTAAAAAAAATCCAAACAAAAAATCAATTAGTTGTTTGAACATCTCCAAACTCAATAATTCCAACAATAAAAAGCAACTAAAATTTTTGATTATATTATGCTGTTTCAAATTTTATTGCATGTAATAAAAAAGCTCACTTTTGTATCAAGAGCATCACACCAAAAATATGTCTGTTTGGGAAAACGTTTAATAGCTGTGTGAATCTACAAACTCATACTTTCATTTAAAAAAAACTTCAAAATAAGCCTTAAACATTATTTAATTAATCCTTTTATAACATATAATAACACAAATGACTTCTGCTTCAAAAAATAAACTGTTAACACAGAGATATGTCTCGCCTATTTGTTATTTTGATAATGAAAATGTTGAAATTAAAATAGCAATACTTTAGCATGTAAGTTATGCAAATATTCAAAGTCAATGAACCATGACTGAAGGTACAGGGCTAAACAATCTCCATGGAAATCACAAACTAATACATGTAAACTAAGCAAAGTTTCAAAGTCAATAGACCTTGACTGAGGGGGTTGGGCCAAATAATATCAATGGTAATGAGATTTGCCAATGCTAATACAACTGCATACCAAATATCATTGACCTACCACTAGTGGTTCACCATGAACTAGACCTAATCACAAACTAATACATTGTTGACGCCGCCGCCGGAAACAGCATACCTATGTCTCGCTTTTTGACTCCGTCAAGGCGAGACAAAAAACCAAGTATCCAAACAGATTTATTGTTGGTGTTTTTGATGCCACTTTCAGAGCTATTGGCTATATCCTGGCAGTTTAGATTCACATTTTTAATGTTTTCTTTAATATTGTGCAACTCTTTTAGCTTTTTGTAGGCACTGCATTAAAACATTTCACTCAGCAACACCTATATTTCTCATTTTTTGTTGTTAAAAAATTACTTTTTTCAATACTCTCCTCTATAATTTAAGATTCTGGCTAAAATACCTTTCTTTTATTTATTCATTTAATTCTTATTTATTCATATTTACCCATATTTAAGAAAAATACTCCCCCTCCCTTAAGCCCAAAGCTTTAATCTTATGCGTTCTTTATTTGGATTTGTTGATTTCCTCAATGCCAACACAATTATCAAGTAGATTTTTTATTTGCTTTGTCCATTTCAAATTTTCTGGATTCTGATTTTTATTCTCCAAACAACACAGTTAATTAGGTATCTTCATACTGTTATAACAGATGAAGGGTGAAGGGACAAAATAATGAGTATGCTATACAAAGAGGGATGGAGTAAAAATGATCAGGTTGCAAATTGTCTCCTGAATGTTCATTGAGTAATACAGAAATAATTTACCTGTGCAAAAATGCTATGAGTAGCACTTTGAATGTATCTAGTATCAGCTTTGGCCCCTACTTCTACTTTTATTGTTCCTACATATACTTCACTACACAAAGTCCAAAAATGTGGATCTTGTACACTATATACTCCATCTATCTGTGATACCTACAAGTATAATATTATAAAAGGATCCTGAAAAATCTAGGAAATATTATTCATAATACATATCCAAAGGCTCTTACATTGTATGTGTTCATCACAACTACAGCACAAGAATATCCCATAACCTCTCACTATCACATTTCCATGTTTAGTGAACGGAGAAATCTTGGTGGCATAATGAATGTGTGTACTAAGCTTCTAGTTGATGTAACCACATACTATCTTATACCAAAAATTTAACCCGATACAGGACAGACGGCACACAGACCAGAAAACATACTACTGTAGATATGGCATAAAAACCACTCTGTGACAAATGCTAGGATGAGTTGCTACAAATTAACAATGCAGTGGAGTTCACATTCACTGTTATTTTTTTCAAAGATGTGGTAAGATATTGGCTCAAGCATGTTCTTAAATCAAATGTTTTTCTTCAATTTGCCAAATTAAATGTTGAATCTATGTTGATCTAAAAAAAAAAGAAGTAGTCTTGTTTGTACATTACTTTTTATACAGTATTATTCCATCAAATAACTGTTAAAAACAGAGAATTATAAACTTGTACAAAATCTTGAGTCTGACTCAAACATGCTAAAATATATGAAGAATGATGCCCGCTTGAAAATATACTTCAAATTCTCGATTTTTCAATTTACAAAGGACATAACTTAAGTAAGTCTCATAGCATTTGGTTGAGGCAAACTAAAGGTAGAGTGCAGAAACGGCAAATTTATCAATTTTTCCATTTATAAAGGGGCATAACTCGAGAATGGTGAAAGTGACGCCACACAAATTCAAACTTGATCCAAGTTTAGAGATAATAAGCATTGTGCATAAGTTTCATAACATTTGGTTAAGACAAAATAAGGTGAGTGCGTAAACTGCAAATTTTCCAATTATTCCATTGATAAAGGGACATAACTCGAGAATTGTCAAAAGGGATGCTACCCAAATCAAACTTATTAGTGTTTGGTGGAAATAACCATTGTGTATAAGTTTCATAACATTTGGTTGAAGTAAACTAAATGATGGTATTCCACCGTAGTATAGTATTTGCATTAACATACTTACTTTTGTATAACAACCTGGTAATAAATGTTCTATTTGCCGTGGTGTTCTCTGCATTAATATACCCACCGAATCTCGTAATAATGGTAAAACACTGAAATTAATGTTAAAATTCTTTAAAATACATCAATATTCTTAATTTTTAGGTTGATTGCATACATGTATTAGCAAGATATGGTCACTTAACAAATGAGTTTCATTATCTGAACAAATATTTAGCATCTCTTCTCAAAAATAATATATATAAACCAAAATAAAATTGATTCCTGAAATTATTTCATGAAAAATTCTCACTAACTTTTTACTACAAATAGAAGATTTGGTAATATTATTTGTTAAATATTTAATTTTCAAAGAAACCCACAGGTTACCTAACATTTTACTTGCACTACTCATATTCTCGCAAACATTAAAAAACATAAAAAATTTTAGCAATTTTTATGTTTATAAAGGGGCATAACTCATGAACGGTAAAAGTGGCGCCACCCAATTTCGAACTTGATCTGTGTTTTGTGGTAATAGGCATTGTGTATAAGTTTCATTACATTTGGTTGAGGCAAACTTAAGTTAGAGAAAGGAAACCAATTTTGGGGATGTTCGGGATGGACAGACAGACATGGGTAACACTTAATGTCCCCTCTGCTACGACGGGAGCATAAAAATCCTAAATCTTGTTTAAAGTAAAAATCTAATATAATAATTCCTACAAACCTGACTGAAATTAATGCTGCTATAAATAAAGAACATATAGGATCTGCAGACATCCAGCCATACTGATGAATTAGAGCTGATGATATTATAACACCTACACTACCTAATGTGTCAGCCATTATATGTAAAAATACACCTGAAAAGATATACTTTGTGTTGATTATCCCCTCTATAGAAAAGATTGTGATCTAAAATAAAACTACAAATGTAATTTCAAACGATCTAATTTTTTTATATACTGTGGGTTCATTTTTTGATGATTGAGGAAAAAGAAATTTTTCATGGAAATTTTGATTTTGTGGTTTGGCTTAGGTCTGCATACAAGCCTATAGAAAATTTGTACTTCGTTGAACATTTTAATTCCTGGTTTACCTATACTCATGAATAATAATGATTCTACAGTATTCCAAATAAGGATGTAAATGTCAGTATCTTTCATTACATGTCTAATTGCTTGTCACTTGCTAATTTTTATATTTTTTTTCATATAGATATGTGGGTCATTGTAACATATAATCAATAAACTTATAGCTTGCATATTACGATTGTCCCCAAACGTGCATCATGATGATCATCAGGTCTATTGTCCATATGAGTCTCTTGGGACACATGAAACAATTAACCGTAACTCAAAGCAAGTCATATTCTTATATTCTAATGCAATTTTTATGTAACCACTTTTTTCATTGGCTAAAAGTTGCCGTCAAATCCACAGTTGACCAGTCGTAACTAAGGAGGGACCAGCCATGAATTGATTGAATCAACAAATGTTCGATTTCTACAATATAATCGCAAATTAAATAACACCAACCTCAAAATCGCTGTTTTAATGTGATTTCATCCAAATTTGAATTGTAGAGGTAACGTAATAACCTCCAGTTTGTAAGTTTTCATTTGTATGACGTCACGTTTAGCCATAACGTCTTTGTGCAAAAATCATTCATAAAGTTTCACGGATTTTTTTTTTATTTCAAATTTATACATTTTTTCAAGCTCTCACGTATTATTTCTTTTTGTAATGCATTAGAATCGGAATAACAGTACTGTAGTTGAAGAGTTGCCACCGTCAATTCTGATTTGACGGTGGAAACTCTTCAACTATAGTACTTTTATTCCTTAATTCTAATTTACCTGTAATCTTTTTTTAACATAATGATTAAAATAAATCTAAATGATGTTAAATCACTTTTACAGCAAAATGCCTTTAGTGTTTAGGTAAAGGTAATATATTTGGCTAGCTTGCTTGTTAGCTGAACCGTGAAATCATTATAAGGTTAACTATATACTACCCTCCTTTTTGAGTAGTCTAGTCCTAGACAGATAGATTGGTTATCTGTGGGACTAGTCTACTCTTAAAGGAGGGTAGTATACCTAACCTAATAATGATTTCACGGTTCAGCTAGCAAGCAAGCTAACCAAAGATATTACCTTTACCTACACACTCAAGGCATTTTGCTGTAAACATGAAACTAATATTTAAGTAGTTTCTTAAAGCTAAGAGGCATCACTTCCAGTTTCAATGTTAAAGAACATCAATGGTTTGTTATGCTTGCTATTTAAGTTAGGAAGGCTTTTCTACTATTTTATGATCATGATGATGAGTGAAGAAACCTTTAATATAATCATTTTATCTTTAAATAATCTACTATGCAAGAACTTAGTCACTGTCTTAAAATTGAGGAAAAACATGCATGTCTGTAAGGAAGAAGGAGAATTCTTGATTCAAGTGTTTAGAAACTGGTAATAAAAAAATTATGCTATTGATTTTTCTGGTGAAAACTTTTTGGAGGCCAACACTGCCTTGGCATAGCTCTCTTTATTGAGCAGTTACCTTGCATGATCTGTTTTTGTGAAGCATTTGCTGGATTATGTGAATGTCCATGACCTCCATGTGAATGTCCATGGCTACTACTTTCATGTGAATGGCCATGACCTTTGTCTTTATCTTCTAAACCTGAAATTGAAATCATCAATTAAAACTGGATGCTAACATAAATAAAATTTGAGCAGGATGCTATTTAGTTTATTTTGTTTGATGAAATTAATTTTTTTGGCAAGACATACATGTACATTGCTCATCTTAACCTGCACTACTTGCTTTAATTACAATATTGTTTTGTATAGCCAATATCTTATGACATCTAATTCAATTTTATGTAAGTTGCAAGAATTATGATATATCTTAAGATTTTTTAAGTCATGGTTACTTAAATATTATTAAAAAATACCAAAAATCCTTTCCTGTAAATATTTATACAGGGCATTCTACAACAATACATTTTTCAAAGCTACCAGACTTTTTGCCTAACCTTCTGAAATTGTTCCATAAAAATCTAGTGTTTTTTCTCACACTTTTTAGCACTGCCTGTCTGACACTTAACCTCATTAAATGAATAAAACGATAATGTTGCAAAAAACTTACCTAATCCATGACTGTGTCCATGTCCTCCATGTGAATGTCCATGATCTATAATGTAAAAAATCATTCATGAAAGCTATAGCATTGTTGATGATTTTTTTTTATATAAATTTCATTTTTTATCAATAGTGCCATGTTATGCCAGACAACATTCTTTCACATAAGGGCTATTCCATTAAAATGTATGTGGAAGGGTAGCAAGGGACTTTCAAAATATCCCTACAACCAAGAACCATTTTTTAGATAATTTTGCATAATGGTAATAGACGCATACTGATAAAAGACCCATGACCCACATTCAATAATTAAACTCCCCTTCCTACCCTCCCACAGACATTTTAATGGAATAGCCCTAAGAAACCCAAGAAAGTTGCACACAATATTGTGCAATGTATGCCTCACTTGTTATAAGTCAATGACAAAAATTCCATGCTCAGAGGGTAAATTAAAATTCATAGTGATGTCAAACAGGAAGTAACTGTCTGACATATCTGTCTTACATGATACAACTCACCATTATTAAGTGCAATAAAAATTAAAGTGTTGTTATCCCTACAGTGATCCCACAGCAGAAACACTTACACAGCAAAACTCAGCAATATAAAGTTTCAGACCATATATCAAATCTTCCTTATAACAGGTGGGTAATTTGTAAATATATAAGTTACAGATGCACAGATGAACTGACTGACAAACAAGATCTTTGTATACTATCCACTCCCTGAGTGGAAGTTCAATAATATATACTGAAATAAATGAAAAACTAAAACCAGATTTGAGTGATATTGTGGAAATCCAGGGCAATGTGTAAATTAGGACTAGTGAATGAGATCCTATTTTCAGCAGATAAAAATAAAAAAACAAGCATCTGAACTGTATTGCCCTGAAACACTTTCTTTTGTAATGTCTAAGACAAGAGACATGGTCATTGTTTGTGTGTTTTTGAATAAGTTGTAATAACATTCTCATTGGGAAGAGTTACATTATTGACATGATCTCATTATGCCATACATGTATTTGTTTGAATCTGTTCACATAATTTTATATACTTTTAGGGTAGTAAAAATATCTTTAGTCAATGATTATTAATTGTCTTACCATCCCCTCCTCCTCCATGAGAGTGACCATGTCCATGTTGGAAGGCAAAGATTCCAACCAGATTTACAAGAAATCCAGCAACAGATACAATAAACAATCGATCATGTTTTACTTCTGGTGGCTCTGCTAAACGCTGAAAGGAAATCAAATTATTCATCACTTTTGTCAACTATAACATCATTAACCATATAGATCCCACAAGAGGGAATGCAGTCTCTGCTGGACTATTTTTAACTACATTAGTCATGAACCAGAAATTCCCAAAATATCAGAAAAGCTGTAAGTTTTTTAATATCCCTACCTATACTAATTTGATATCCATATACTTTAATCTTTTAATATTCATATACTTTCATCTTTAACATCCATGTACTTATTTTCATATTCCCATACTTATATAAAGATCTTTTTACTTATTCATTTTCCTTCTTTTTGGAAGAATTTTATTTACATATCATACTATTGATTCCATGCTTAGTATAGAAATGTAGTTTTAAAATCTTCTTCAATGTTAACAGACAAATAACAAAAAGAAACATGGACAATATTTCGCACAAAAAGCCAAATATACATTTTACTTACCTCAACAGCTTCTGAGAAAATGAAGAAACCAATAAACAAGAGAAACAATCCATTAACAAATCCTGCCATTACTTCTGCTCTCACATAACTACAAAGATACAGAAATAAACTGAAGCTTCATGATAACTGCTCTCACATAGCTACAAAAATAAACTGAAGCTTCATAACTTCTGCTCTCACATCACTACAGAAATAAACTGAAGCTTCATAACTTCTGCTCTCACATCACTACAGAAATAAACTGAAGCTTCATAACTTCTGCTCTCACATAGCAACAAAGATACAGAAATAAATTGAAGTTTCATGACTTCTGCTCTCACATAATTACAAAGATACAGAAGTAAACTGAAGCTTCATATCTTCTGCTCTCACATAACTACAAAGATACAGAAATAAACTGATCCATTAACAAATCCTGCCATTACTTCTGCTCTCACTTAGCTACAAAGATACAGAAATAAACTGAAGCTTCATAACGTCTTCTCTAACATAACTACAAAGATACAGAAATAAACTGATCCATTAACAAATCCTGCCATTACTTCTACTCTCACATAGCTACAAAGATACAGAAATAAACTGAAGTTTCATGACTTCTGCTCTCACATAACTACAAAGATACAGAAATAAACTGAAGCTTCATGACTTCTGCTCTCACATAGCTACAAAGATACAGAAATAAACTGAAGCTTCATGACTTCTGCTCTCACATAACTACAAAAATACAGAAACAAGCATTCTGTGAGTATTGCATGGCAATATATAGTCCCCTACCGGTTACAAATTCATTGTAATGGAACAAAATTCTAACTTGATCTATAACGTGTCATGGTGTAAACTACATAAAAATATCAAGTCAAAATCTTCAAGCATGACAACAAAAACTGTTGAAAACTGATTATTTAAGTGAATTATGTATGTCCAAAGACCATAACACTGCACAAAATTATCAGACTGGATCAAAATTCCAACTTGATCTGTAACTTGTCATGATAAAACTATATACTAATTATCAAATCAATATCTTCAAGAATGACAAACAAACCTACCACTAAATTCTTCAAACAATTTACCAAAGAAAAGGAAAAAAATCCAAAATGTCATTTTGTCTTTTAAGAAATCTACTAATTAATGAGTATTTCATCAAAAATTTAATTCTAGGGAAAGGGCTTTAACTGAACAAAGAGAAAAGCTAAAATCGTGAAAATTGAACTTGACCTGTAACTTGTCATGATAAATCAATAAACCAAATATCAAATCAATATCTTCAAGCACGAAGAAAAAAAGTCTGGAAAACTGATTTGCCGGACTGACAGACAAACAGACGGACAGACAGACAGACAGACACAGACAGACAGAGTGCAAACCTAAAGTCCCCTTCGACTTCATCGGTAGGGGGCTTGTAAACTGAAGCTTCATGACTTCTTCTCTCACATAGCTACAAAGATACAGAAATAAACTGAAGCTTCATGACTTCTTCTCTCACATAACTACAAAGATACAGAAATAAACTGAAGCTTCATGATAGCTTAATGGAATTTCACACAGAGGAAATCATGTAATAGACATCCTTCTACAATTCTTATAAAACTTTATTATAACAATGATTTCTGACTATATTTTTCTCAATTTTACTTAGATTTCAATAAAACTTGAACTTGACCTTCATTTAGTCACAGGAAACAACATATCTAAATTTGAAAAAAATTCATCAAAGCGTTTGCATGTTCTTAAACGGACACTGTTTGGCAGCTGCCCGCCCGCCGTACATCCCCAAATCAATAACCAATTTTTCCTTCGAAAATCCGATTAAAAAGGGAAAACAAATACTGAATAATAACACAAATTTAATCTGAAAATACCTCCTTCCTATTGGAAATGGGTGTTCAAGTACCCCACTCCCTTAAATACATTATAAGTATTAAGTCAAAATATTCAATTATGATCTAAATCCCTTTTTTCAGTTTATGATCACACAATTTTGTTATCTTCATAATGTATCTATTTTCTGGGTAGGTTTAGAAATACTAACTGTGATGTATCATTTTGAAGGACACTTTTTCGTTTTTATTTAATTTTTTTTTTGAAAAGTGTCAATATCTTTGTAACAAAGCCAGTGACTCATTCCCTTTTTCCTTCATAGCAATGTCATTACTCATCATCTAATAAATTTGTAAATTAGATATATTTTTTCTAAAATTTTATCCCTCTTATATCTGAATAGAAGTTATTATAAACTTCTATACTGAATAACACAGTTAAAGTAAATTCATACGAATGATCATGCGTTTTCATTTCTTCAACTTAACGTATAGATGCAGAACTTTTCAAGTCTAAATTACAAATACTTCCTTTTTCAGGCGAAGCAAGTTAACACTTCCATAGTTTCATGTTTTTTTCTTTTTCAAATCTTATTTCAAATATTTCAAAGTTTGAGTGTAATGTGTCAGGTTAAGAACAAGAATAGACAGAGAATTTGGATAGACAAGTGTACAAGGGAAACCAGTATAGTTATATCTATAACTTACATTTAAAAACGAAACCCAAATAAATTATTTATCATTAATCTAAAATTGTATTCCATACCCATATGAGTAATTTTCTGTTGCTCTCCATCTTGAAATTACAGATGCTGCAAGACCTGCTAATAAAGCTGTGCAGTCGAAAAACATGTGAAATGAATCAGAAATGAGTCCCAAGCTGGAATAGAAAAATGAGTATTACATAAAATTCATGTACATATAAAATCAATGTAATTATGATAAACCTACACCCCTCTCAGGAAAATTATTCTGAAAGTGGAAATAAGACACTGAAATCACATTTCTCCTTTTCAGCAATAAGCACTACAAAACATACAAACTGGCATGTATTACCCCTCCCCATTAATTCTTATGTGTCTGTTCCAAGCCAAGAGCCTGTAGTCCAGAGATTATTGGTAGTCTTCTAATTATCTTTTTTTATTCTATGATGGATAGTTATTTCATTAGCAATCACCCTAACACATCTCCCTATTTTTATACATTGTATTTATGGCTTACCTATTTGTCCAGATACCATATGTCAATTCAACAAATGCAAATGATAGATTCAACAGAAGAAAGAAGAATATATTCCTTGAGGTCTTCTCTGAGAATATCAATCTGAAAGATAAAGTACTTATTAGTAAAGAATAATATATTCCTTGAGGTCTTCTCTGAGAATATCAATCTGAAAGATAAAGTACTTATTAGTAAAGAATAATATATTCCTTGAGGTCTTCTCTGAGAATATCAATCTGAAAGATAAAGTACTTATTAGTAAAGAATAATATATTCCTTGAGGTCTTCTCTGAGAATATCAATCTGAAAGATAAAGTACTTATTAGTAAAGAATAATATATTCTTTGAAGTCTTCTCCGATAATACCAATCTGAAGTATATAAAAATCAATGGTATACTGTGAAATTCATTAGTTCTCTTGATGTAATGAGGGCAAAGTTTATTTAAATAATGACTGAAAGTTAAATTAAAATTCTTAAATATCATTTGACCAATGGGACAATCCAAGGAAAAACCAAGAGGCTCCAATGAGTCTGTATCACTCAATTAGCATCTATACATTACCCTATATGGCTGCCACTGTTTCTCCCAGATTATAAGAAAGAGCAATCCAAGATGCTTTAATAGTAAGTTGAAAAGACACTTGTAATTCTTAAATACCACTAAAGGGACATATGTTATTGCATTTAAAAGTTAAAGGTTATCTAAAATTACAAAGTTTGACTCATCCATAAATTGACTTTATAATCTGTAGACAATAATTAAACTAACTTGGACATAAAAATAAGTCTAGTTACTTACTTTTTGTTAGATTCTGATACAGTCTCATAAATACATCCTTACACTAATTTTCATATCTATCCGAGAACTTAATATCAGAAACGAAGTTGAATTAAAGCATTGTTGAAGCTAATCTGACTTGTAAACAAAAAGTAGTACATGTATATCCATGTTTGTAAATTATTAATTTAAATAATTTCTTTACAAATGTTTTATTAAAAGAAGTTGTTGATAGCTCACCATTCAAGTATTGCTACATTTTGTATTTATATATATGGGAATTCTTTAATGAGTTTCTTACTTTGGTAGACATCATTCTAGCAGAAATTAATAATTCAGATGAAGCATTATCAACAGCTGAGTAAACTTGTAAATGTCAACTGTTCATAATTTTAGACATCTCTGTAAAGAGTTCAAATCCGCTCTGTAGGTGCCTTGCATTACTCCACTTAAAATTTAGTGCAGTTTTACTATACGTAGTTTCAAATGAAAGCGATATATGAAGTCTGCAACAGAGATTGTAATTAGGATGAAATTAAATTGGCTCTCTCCTTATATATATTTTAAAAAAAAAGTGAAATCAACTTAGATACCACTACAAAGTTTGTACTGAATTATATTCAATTACTTCCACAACAATAAGGTACTGATAAAATTCTCATAAATTCTTGTAGACTGCATGAAAATTTTTATTTACCTTTATATTTCATATCACAAATAATATTTTATAAATTTTTATTTACATAAAATCAGTGTTCCAAGTACACATGGTACATGTACATGTCAACTACTTTTACAGACTTCAGCACCCCTGCCTTTTTTTTGTATATATCCATTGATCCACATGTTGGTCATGTTTTTCTGGATATTTGAGTCTACTGAAAATGTGATTGATTCAGTCTTAAGGTATCTCAACATATTTATTTTGAAGTCCTTGTACATTGTTGGTTTTCAGCAAAAAAAATTATATTATTGATTTTTGTGTGCATTACATACCAAAAAATATTGAACCTTTGAGTGCATTAAAAACAAAAAGGACCAAAACAAAACAACTAAAACCATCTTACGTCAACTTTGCCTGATAGAGTTGAAGTAAGTGTTGACCTGAACTTGACCATTGTTATGTTGATAGCATATATCATGTCCTTGTAAGGATGATAAAATTTAGTAAAAGTTTTGACAAGTTTGTGACATCGAAAACCCAGGTGTAATAATTTTTCAATAATACTGAGATTTCTTTTGTTAAAATCTAATTTTTTTCATATTTATAGATCACTTATTGGGCAGATACAATGTACAATATGTAGGCGTGGAAGCAAAATTCAAAAACAACCTTCCAAATTGTTATAATACTCTTGTTACGAGATAGTCTGTCTCACCCAAAAAACCTCATGTGTCAGAAATCTATGCAGTGTTGCGATCAGTACACAACATCATCATCATCTGTGTGAAAACATTAAAATATGGAAGATGTCGCCTAAGTTACGGTAGGTTTTCATCAGGGTGAGGAAGTCAAACTATACAGCTTGGTAGACTATTTTAAGGAGGAAATCTAATTAAATCATAACATTTGCTTAATTCATGTGTGTAAAAATCTAGGAATGTGCATAAAAAATATCGTGTGATAGGACTTTCGAATTATAGTTATCTCGTACCATTGTAAACTCGTACCAATGTCAACTCGTACCAATGCAAACTCGTACCACTGCTAACTCGTACCACGGTAAATTCATACCATTGTAAACTCGTACCAACTTATTAAAATGCATTCAAATGGTGTTTAATGATGAATATATACTTTAATTTCACTCAATACCTCTTAAGTCTGTAAAATGTATATAATTTGAAATTACAATGACCAATTTGTAGCTAATTTTCCTTGTCTAATTGGATAGAGAAAACTGTGGCAGATTGGCTTTGTTGTCTCCCTTGAATAGACTCTTTTTTAAACTTTTACTGACATTCCAAATCAGTAACATCGAATAGATTTGAGTATTTTTCTATTGTTTCTAAAAGGAATTTTATTTAATGAAAGAATTTATTTACTGTGGATTCATTAATATTCGTTGGATACCAATTTTCGTGGATTTCGTGGGTACAGAGGAACCACGAATTTAAACGTTCAACGAATTACAAATTTTCTAAAGGAATGTATGCAGGCTTTGCCAAAACCAATTAATTTTAATTTTAATGAAATTTAATATCCACGAATATGAAAGTTTTTCTCAATCCACGAAAATTGGTACCCACGAAAATAAATAAATCCACAGTATTGTGTTTTAAAGGTTTAAAATTGTTTATTACCAACAGTTAGAAAGTATGAAATTTATTTTTATACAATATTCAGCACTTTTTAGCAGAATATGACCATGCTAATATGATTAAACAAGTTGATTAGTCAATAATCAACCAATAATCACACAATCAAAGGAATTTAATATATTCATTAGCATGGTAATTAAGAAATTACATTCGTATTTTTGTCTAAGTTTTCATTAAAATCTGGTATAAAATTCAAAGATATTTAAATTTTTGGTATAAAGCTTAAAAAAAAAATAATCATGAAACATTCGTATTTTGTCTAAGTTTTCATTAAAATCTAGTATAAAATTCAAGTAATTCAACTTTTTTTATTTACTTTACCAAATAAAAAATCATAAAACATTCATATTTTTGAATATATTTTTAATGGTACGAGTTTGCAGTGGTACGAGTTCTGATTGGTACGACTTCCCTGTGGTAGGAGTTTACGTTGGTACGAGTTAACTTTTTTGGTACGAGTTTATGTGGTACGAGTTTACAATGGTACGAGTTAACTTGCTTCCGGACTTTCTCCACAATAAAACATCAATTAAAGCAGAACTCTCCTGATTATTTGGACTAGGGTAGAACTAAAAAATAGGATCAGAATTACTCAATTAAAAACAAAGCTGTAGCACTTTAAGAAATTTTCTGTTTTCTAAAAATTAATTTGTAATAATTATTGCAAGGACCATAAGAGTCAGCTGCAATGGTTCCAAATCTAGGGTCAAAAATGTATAGACAGGTTTTGACAGGTGCCACGTTTGCCATATGTTCGCTTGTTTACCTCATCGCAGCCTTGAGTTTCTCTGTTACTCCCCATCCTGGACGATGGATTTTATCTCCTTTGTGGACAGGCAGCATTTCGTGTATTCAGGTGTGTCTTAAACTATGTTTGAATCAAGGCATGCAGAAAGAGACACGTCGTGTCGGACTTTTCCGGTCTAGATTGTTTAGCATTTATTTTCGTATGCAAGAGCTTCCGGTTTGCAATGATAGAAAGAAATTTCCTATTATAATCTTTTTACAAGAACATTAGAAAGATAACAAATTGTAATAATAAATATCTTTATTTTGGAATTATGATTGCACAAAATTGTTTACTTTAAAATTTTCGAAACTTTAAATATAGTTTAGCTCTATTCGTCCATAAACAAACGTGTAGCCTGTGCCTGTGATCGAGTTTGATATTTAGAAATTTATCAAAACCAGCATATAGATTGAAGTGACATTTTTAAGTCTTTCAAAGAAAAATGACCAGTTAAAAAAATGCACCATCGACTTTTTCATAGACTCATTCCTATACACAGAAATCCCTCAGCATATTTAGCAGCAGCTTCAAGTTCAAACAGCACATCTAGTTTACCAAATAGAACACCATTTAAACCCAAAACTGCAGTGGTCTTGTCTAAAGTGACAAGATACGAATTTGAAAAACGTATTTTTCCAGACTATACGGAACAGCAACTGAAAGACCATGTAAGCCAAACTGAAAAGCAATGAGAAACTTGAATTATTAAACTTAAAAATAACAGGTGGAGAACAATCACATATTCTCCAGTTCCCTACACTCGACCATTACCCAGAATTTGCTCTTTAGTTTTAGTTTTCTGTGAAGTGTTTTGAAGACCTGGTGTCAATTACATGCCGCAGTAATTAATAACATGTGCACACAAATTTTTTTTAAAAGAAAATTACAATGACAATTACATTAATTTTGAAATGTTATTTATTACTTCATTACATTCCATTGTCAATGCAATTATTATAAAACACATTTCAATACTTTAATTCTGAGAAAGTTCTTTCACTGTGTCCGATTTCATTAAGCACACAAATGTCACGTGATAACAGCAGAAATCTATGCAGTGTTGAAAAGGCCCTTTCATGTTTAATACAGCTATACATATTAAATGGGGCGCAGGTTTTCATAATAAAGGTGAAAATGCGTTGAAAAACACAGAAAAACATCATTGAAACAGACCAGTTACTTGGAAACATGCATAGCTTTTAAGGTACTTTCTTACTGTTTCCTCCTCCATCCATAAAATCTGCCCTTATTCAATATGGCTGCAATAACCATGAAGTGGCCTATCAATACACCATTGTCTGCTTGGAAAAATCAACATATGGGTGATGTCACCATTTGATAGGTTTTTTCATGGTGAGGGGGTCAAACTAGAATATAGAGCTTGTCGACTTTTTCAAGTAGAAATCTCATTTCTTAATTCGCCTGTGTAAAAAACTAGGCTGTGCATAGAAAAATGTCCATATTGAAACAAGTACTATTCCAGATCTCTCCTATTAGTTTTTTGCAAAATTTTTTATCATATACAATTAGGAAAAAATTGTAAACCAGCTAGGATAATAATGGATGAGGCTTTTACATGCACTGTTCAATATTGAAACACATGTACAGGCATTGTATTAATTTTTGAAATTTTATATTTCAAAGTTACATTGAATATGTTAAATTTTTGGTCCTACAAATTTGCGAAAAAATGTACACGATACTATTTTAAAATGTATTTTTTAACATCTCATTCTGAATAAAGGTTTTCAAACCTGTAAACATAAGCTGTGACTTCAAGATAGCATATATAGAGCACAAGTATTTCAAGAGTCACCCAAAATTATTATTTTTCAATAAGTAGATAATGAAAATATACTCTTCCTATGTCAAAAATATGTCAGAAATACTTCTTTTGTTAGAAATATGTCAAAAATACTTCCTTTGTCAAATATCTTTTTGCGAGAGTATTGTTTTCTGTAGTTTTTTCATAGCAGTTGTGAATAAAATAACAGTTTTAACAATTTAGCATTTTCACTGTATTGACTGTAACAGTTCTGAATAAGCTGTTTAAAGGAAATACATGTAATGATGTAAACAGTAAAAATAGAAATTGTTTCCTTGAACTACATGTTCATAAGATTCGACATTTAATTTTGCAAATCTGATTATTGGAAGACATTCTGAAACACATTTTATTTTAGAGTCAATTTAGGCACATATCTCCTTTTTAGAGCCCCAGTTCAAACATGTATCTTCTTTTAATTGTTATGAATTATAAATTGTAAAGCTATTATATTTAAATCCATGTTTACCTACAGTTAGAAAGTAAGAGATCTGATTATGATGGATTGTTAGAAAGACATAATCGCCATTACAGCTGTGTGGACTTGGTAGAGAGAGAATTAAGGTATTTGCAGTTATTTTCACAATACAAAGCATATCTGATAATTATAGTAAAAATATAGTTCTAATCATCATCATAAACCTATTGTTTACTCCATTATATGTATTTTTCAAAGACATTTTAAAAGAGATGGCAATGCAGTTTTTTTTCAAATGTTCTAGATTAAGATCAATAATGGAATAGGTCTTTTTATTTGAATTTTCATTTTTGTTCTGTAAGCAAAAAATATATATATTTTGATAATTTTAAGTTTGCTTTGAACAGTTTGTATGAAAACTTTAGTTCATTTCAACAAAGTAATGATTTAATGAAGTCCTTAATGTCTGCATCCCTGCCCATGTCACATGATGACATCCACAGCCAGTTCACAGTTCCTTACGTACAGCCATAACATTTTGTGTTTTGGTGCACCATTTATTAAATTGAACAGATGTCTTGTGACCAAGTATTTAGTAGTTGCCTGACTTTAAATTTTATGCACAAATATTCTGTTTATCATGATCATACAATTGCAATATGACACTCAATAATACCATTCTGTGTAAGGATCCATCTGAGGGAGTATATAACAGCCTTTTACCAAAAAAAGATCATTCCAGTATACATTTCACATTTAAGTGACAGGTTAATTTCTGTGTCCAAATTTAATTTTCTGGTACTAGGTGACCTGCAATCATATAACTTGGTGGAAAAATGCATTTAGGAGATTGTAACAGCCATCCAACAGAAATGGGTCAGTCGTTGAGTTGTTAAGTTAACTCTTAGTTCAGAATTCAGTTCTTAGATACTTAGTAGATACCTACATCATTAAACTTTGTATGAGAATGTATCTATGGAAGTAAAACAATTTACCTCAAACAGAAGTTATTTTGACTCCCATTTTATTGCACTGCTGTTTATTTCCTTTATGAAATTTCAACAAGAAAACTTATTGTCAACAAATTGTTTACATCATAAAATCTTGCTCTTCTACGCATAGTACATGTATTTTGTAATGATTTTAATAAAAGGAGAAATGTAAGTCTGCAGTGTGTAATTAAAAAGCTTGAATAGCAAATGGAATGTATTTGAGATCTAAAACTATTATTATTCACACAAAGGCCCCTTAAATTATTTAACTTAGTAAAAGTAATGGTAAAGCTACTTTGGTTATTAAAAATGAAAATCCTCTGTTGACCAGTGGCCATCATCCAACACATGCCCCACTTTACTCTTTTGCTGGATTTAAGACAAATTTGGAAGCAACTAATTGATTATGCACTTTAACATATAAAATTTGTTATTTAATTTTGATGTTTAAATCATGTAAATGTATGTTTCAGAAATAATGGTATTGAAGCTAAAGTAGTACAGAGGTTTGACCTAGATAATGATTTGATTGGTTGGGCTGATGTTATTTTCACTGCTGGAGGTGATGGGACATTTCTGTTAGCAGCTGATAAAGTTAGAGGTCAAGATAAACCAGTGATAGGATTAAATACTGACCCAAGAAGGTAAATGATCATATTTTGTAAAACTTGGGAAAAGATTAATACTCAATCAAGATGATGAAATGTCAGAGGTCATTAACATTTAAAAAAAAAATATTTTGATCACCGTTAACATTAACTCAGGTCTATCATACAACCAGAATTGGCTTTTGCTCGAGGTAAAGTATTTGACATAAAGAGTCAGCCCGTGGTAATGTCAGTGTAAATTCAAGACCCCCTGAATTATTTTTATAGGTAAACATACTAATTTATTATCAGATATAAATGAACTTGCAATGGTATTTTGTCTTTAACACATTGTAATATATTGGTATTTTGTCTTTAACACATTGTAATATATTGGTATTTTGGTTTTAACACATTGTAATATATTGGTATTTTGTCATAAACACATTGTAATATATTGGTATTTTGTCATAAACACATTGTAGTATATTGGTTTTTTGTCTTGAACACATTGTAATATATTGGAGATGTATTCGAAGATGTCTACAGTTGAGTTATTAGATGTATGTGCAAGTTTATTATTAGGACTAAGTGTAATAGAAACATTATCATTATCGACTTAAAATTCAAATCATCAAGAGTTTTTTTAGTAAAATTATATAGTTTTGTTTTAGATACATGTAATTACTTTTTATAACTTGCTGTAGCAAGAGTGAATTCGTGATAGAATAAAAGTAACATGATATAGTAAAGACCAAATTTTTCAGAGAACAATGAAGTTCTCAGTATTTATTTCATAGTGAATTTGGTTATTGATGATTGTAATGTTGGTGCTTAACACTACTTCTTGACACTTTTGGCTTGTCATTGTGGTCAGTATTTATTGATGGAGGAAGCCTAAGTACCTAGAGAGAACCACTGACCATCTGCAGGAAAACAGGCAATCTTAGTCAATTAGGATCCCAGTCAAAGCCACCTTGCCACAAGCCTCGGGAGAATTTAAGCATTGATGCAAATATCATAGCATGACTAGGGATGATCATAATTTTATTGTGGTTATCATAAGTCTGTTAAGAGAACTGGTCGAATCCAACATTATTTAAATCTCAAATTTACAAAATCATTACCTAACAAGGTATTTATGATTTGGAGGAAGGGCAATATGTATAATAGTAGGCCAATATATAATATTAAAATTACAAATCATTTTCACTTGTTTATGTTTGAAGATTTGTCAGAAAAATTTTCTTTTGAACAAAATATATATTAATCTTATTATACCTTGTCCATTCTTTCACCCAACCAATATATCTGTCATTCTCAGGAACTACTGAAAAGAATGACTTCATATTTGGGCAGCAGCTTCACAGTAATGAGCTTTTTTCAGATCTGTATGACACCTAATTCCTGTTTTCCAAGCCTTTGAATATGGGTTTGCTTAGCATAACAATGGAGGCAACTTCTTGACAAGGGTAGCATTGGCCGTTCATGTGGGATTTTCAAGTCTACACATTTCTCATGAATTGATACCCCAAAATTATCACTTTACCGATTTGTGACAAACAAAGGACTGTTCAGTGAAAATAATGAAGTAACAATCCAATTAATTATTTTGTTAAGTTTGTAGAATTTACAATGTATATAAAAAAAGTTGAATGTGATATTGTGCATATTGTGAATGTTATAATACCAATTTAAAACCAGTTGAACATTTATTTTATCAATTCCTGTATTACAGATCAGCTGGATGTTTATGTTTACCCAAAGATAAGTACTCAGCTGATCAATTTGATGTTGCAATCAAACGTCTTTTAGATGGAGATTTCAGGTATCTATACTTTTATGGAAATCAATGCTAATGCAATAAAAAAAAGATAATTGACAGCAATAAAGTCTATAACATTTTTCATTAATTGTGAAAAATAACTTGTTATGAATAAGTAAATAATTTTCCTGTTAAAACAAATGAAGATACTAAAACTACAAAAAAAATAACTATGATAGCTTTTTGAAAAAAGTAATTTCTAAAGCCTGAATTTCATTGTAAAATAATAATTTGATACAAAGTATTCCTTTTCTTAAGAAATAGTACTTGTTTGCTGCAATGTATACAAATGAATCAGGTAATCCCTGTTATTTTATTAAAATATTTTTTAAAAACTAATTTTTCCAACTGTATAAGGTCTCTTTACTTCCATTCATTTTGTACTTCACAAAAAAGCTTGATTATATTGCTGAAAGCCCCTCAAAGACTGACATATAGTGGTACAATGTATACCATATTCCATCTGACAGTTAACATGGTAAGATAACTCAAATTTGCTTGAACCAATTCCCATGAAATTTTAACACAACATTATGATTGACAGAAAAAAGCTCCCATTTGATTTAAGAAAAAATTTAAGACTATCAGATTTAAGCAACTTTGCACATATAGCACATATCTCCAGTATGCTTAGATTGATTTCCTAAAAAATTTATACTACTGTTAGGATTGATAAAAGGAAAAGACTTTCTTCATAATTTAAAATTTATCTGGTTTGTCATTTTAGTGTTATGGGACTTTAACTGTCAGATTTAGTAAAATTTACACATGTACCATAACTTGAGTATGATTACAATGATTTACAAGAAACTTTAAAGGGGCACTAGCTATGAGATTTATAAAAAATCTAAAGAATGATTTTTTTTGTTCAATCATTAACATGATTAATGAAAGTGAAATAATGAAATAATAATTCGCTTTTAGCAGCCAGTATGGTTCAATTTTGTCAAATTAAGCTAAGAAACATTGATGATGAATTATTCACTTGCAAGTGAATAATTCGACCTCATTGAATCTGTATTCATGTGACCTTCAATTTAACCCCTTAGCTAGAGATGGATAACGCATGCATTGTGCGTGTTCGGTTATTTAAAGGAAAAGAATGTCAACATTGAAAGTGAAACAAAGGTAAATCATTTGATTGACTGATTCGATCCACAAAAATCATTCTTATACAGGTAAAAACGATGATTAACATATATCTTTAATCTTTAATATGAAATTAAACAGACCTAGAAAAATCCAATTGCACGAGTCTCTCTTTTTTTATATCTATATTTGTGTTTATATCACTTATATGACCATCAGAGGTTTCCGGAGGTCAACTCGATAGTTAATTAGATGGCGTCAAGACTGAAATACACACGAAACGAAGCTACATATTATTGAGCCCATGACCTGTAAATTGTTTATTTTAGACTTTTTATAATTTGGATAAATGTTTTACATGGTTATAAATCAAATATGAGAATATGAGTCAAATCGGTGAACATGAATTTGACAGCTAGTGCCCCTTTAAATTATTGTTGAAATTGGTGAAAGTAAGATAAAATTTAATTTTGAAAATTTTCTGATTTGTCATTCCAGAATTATGGCACCTTTGACCATCAGATTAATAAAAGGCAATTTTTTACATGTCATGCACTACCTCTAGTATGCTTGGATCAATTTAATACAAACTTTACACTGTTGTAGGGATTGGTGAATATAGACTTGCTTTTGATTTAAAAAATTTCTGATTTGCCATTCTAGAGTTATGGGACTTTATACAGTCATATTTGATGCAATTTCTAAATACATGAAGATAGCCTCATGCATGTTTACTAGAGCAATGATTCTAAATTCTGATTAAAATCCTTCTAAAAGTTTAATCTTATTCTCGAAACAATTATAAAATGCACAGTTAAGGCGTATATGTATCATGCACTATAGGCACAGCTTCTTATTAAGCATGTACAAACATTTTTCAAAGAATCTGGGTAATTTATGTTAGTTTAAAATTGCATTTGATTCATTTTCATTTTTTCTTCTTTTTTTCCTGTGAAAGTGTAATTGTTGCTTCAAGTTATGATAGAGTGTTCCCTCCTTAAATAAGTATATAAGAAAGGTGTTCACTCTATATTACTACTTATTATCAGCATTGGTAATTATGTTTTTGTAGTAATTAAACCATTTTTTTAATGGGACTAATGTCTATACATATATTATAGGTGATTTATCTGAGAGGGCATTCCTGAAATGTATAATTTGTGTCCAATGCAATGACTGCATTAGACAATAAAATTAGGTCTTACAAATCAGTATGGCTTGCTAGAATGGGGAGGGGAGTAAATTGTATAAAATTATAGATCCAAATTCATGCCATATGTAATGAACGTCTGGAAAAGGCTTAAATGTAGCATAATGATTTATTTATTTGTTGTTTTTTTCAGATGGTTGAAACGACAAAGAATTAGAATTACAATTTCAGGTCATAGTGAAAAATTGTTTCCTACTGAATTAAAGGAAGAACAATTACTTTATCATGAACATAGATTTTTAGAACATATGAATGAAAAATTAGAATGCTCAAAACCTATAGATAGTGATGAAAATGGAAATATTGAAGTATTACCTATTGTGGCACTTAATGAAGTGTTTATAGGAGAAGCACATTCATCTAGGTAGGTGTATACATTTGAAAAATTGAAGTGAATTAATATAAAACATCACTTATAGATCTTGAATAACTGTAAATTCAGAATGTAATGTATGCATTAAATAATTGCAATCTTGGAACATCCACCTTTTTGTAAGATTCTTGTAGGTGAAGTAGTAGAATATTACTGACAAAAGTTAAAAATGAGAGTTAAAATTATGGAAATTTTTATGCCTTGCCGCATCGGAGGGGGCATTAAGTGTTACTTTTGTCCGTAAGTACATCCCAAAATTAGTTTCATGTTCTCAAACTTTAGTTTGCCTCAACCAAATGTTATGAAACTTATACACAATGCTTATTATAAAACACTGAATTTGGGTGGCATCACTTTTACTGTTCTGGAGTTATGCCCCTTAAAAAAAGGAAAAAATGCTGAATTTTTTCATTTCTGTTCTCCAACTTTGGTTTGCCTCAACCAAATGTTATGAAACTTAAACACAATGCTTATTACCATAGAATACTGATCAAGTTCGAATTAGGGTGGCGTCACTTTTACAGTTCTCTAGTTATCTCACTTCATAACTTTATATGCAAAGGGGGGCATCATCTGTCATCTGTGTCTTATGGACACATTTTTATACGACCACAAAAATTTTGCGGTCGTATATTGGTATCATGTCGTCGTCGTCCAAAGACACATTGGTATGTACACAGTTATATGCATTCTTAAATAATAAAAAAATGTTACATATCGCTCAGTCAGGTTTCAGGCAAGGTCATTCATGTCAAACAGCACTGACTAAACTAATTGATGAATGGTTAAAATATTTAGACAATGGAGAAATAGTTGGTACTGTGTTTTTAGATTTCAGTAAGTCTTTTGACCTTATTAACCATGCCATACTTTTAGAAAAGTTAAAATTTTATCATATCGGAGAACATATGATAGATTGGATAAAATCATATTTGTCTGAGAGACAACAAGAAGTTCAATACGCTAACATTAAATCTGATAAATCGTTTGTAAAATATGGAGTGCCTCAAGGTTCTATTTTAGGTTCTCTGTTATTTTTAATTTATATAAATGATTTACCACTTCATGTTAAACAATCCGACATGGATTGATATGCTGATGATTCAACATTGCATTTTCATAATAAAAACATTGAAAAAATAAATAGCATATTGCAAAATGATTTAAATGCTATAAAATCTTGGTGTAACAATAACAGTATGAAAATTAATGCACAAAAAACAAAGTGTATGAAAATGGGTTCAAAACAAAAACTTACACAACTATCAGAATTATGTATTACCGTCAATGAAACATGTATTGAAAATGTCCATTCTTTCAAATTACTTGGAATTGACATTGATGAAAATTTAAGCTGGGAGGATCATGTTGATCGTATATGCAAGATTATCTCATCTAAAATATCACTTTTGTTAAAAATTAAAGTATATTTGCCTATACACACAAGACAACTATTTTATAATGCATTTATTCTACCATATATAGACTATTGTAGTTCAGTTTGGGGAAATTTATTACAAAAAGATTCAGATAGAATCATAAAACTTCAAAAAAAGAGTAGCAAGAATTATACTTGAATGCGATATTTCTGTTCCATCTAATTTTATGTTTTCATCTTTAAAATGGCTATCTTTTACAAAAAGAATAAAATACCAACAATCAATTTTAATGTATAAAATTGTAAATTGACTAACACCTGATTACTTAACAATGCTAAATATTAATGATGTGCAACACCACAACTTACGATCTGTCTCTAATAATGATCTATTTGTTCCAAGACCAAATACAAATTTTTATAAAAAATCTTTTCATTATTTTGCAACAAAGGTATGGAATAATTTACCACTCAAAATAAAAAATTGTCGAAATGTGGAATTATTTAAGAAACATTGTTATAATCATTTTCTTGAAAATTCTATGCAAGTCGAATAATTTGTTTTCTTTCTTTTATTGTAAGAATAAGAAAATTTTATCAAACTTTACCAATTATTGCCATTTGTATGTTTGAATGAATGAATTGTGTATATATACTAGTAATATATATTGTATTTTAATGTATGAATGTATGAATGTTTACTGTATACATGTATTTTGTTTGAGGGCCTCAATGAAAATTAGACTACTTCTAATTGAGTTACCCTCTTTAAATAAAGAATTTATTATTATTATTATTATTGGTTTCCGGAAAATAACTTTTGTTTAAGTGTATGGATTTCTATGAAATTTTACCATAAGGTTTATGACCACAAAAGGAAGGTTGGGATTGATTTTGGGGGTTATGGTCCTAACAGTTCAGGAATAAGGGGCCAAAATGGGCCCAAATAAGCATTTTCCTAGTTTCCAGACAATAACTTGTGAAATGGTGTATGGATCTCTCTGAAATTATACCACAAGTTACCATATCACAAAGGGATGGTAAGAATTTGCTTTGGGGGGGTTATGGCTCAAACTATTTAGGAATTAGGGGCAAAAAAGGGGGAAAAAACAAGGGTTTCCAGGTTAATGGACAATTACTTAAGTACAAAACATAATTTTAAAGCAGTGTAAGGGAGGTAATTCAAACACATATTGTCAAATTACCTCCCTTATACTGCATGTAAATTATTTATAAAGAAATGTATTGTCTTTAGGTGATTAGCTGTCAATTAATTTTTAGAAGTTACTATTTTAAAAATGTTTAATAAAGGTAATTTAATTATAGCCATGATTATGTATGTTCAGGGTTTGACCACTGCGGTCGTATCAGGCTGCGCTCAGCGAAGCATTTTATCCATTTATTTAAGATATGCATCTTTTTTGTCTAATTTATAAAAACAGTGCATTAACAGTGATTTATGATTGAATTTGTATATATTTACACTGGTGTCTCAGAAAGTATATTATAAATTGATGTTATATAGTCCTGCTTACAATACGATATTCAGCACGTCTGTGTTTGTAGTTTGGTTGTCTACAAGACTTCTCCAGTTAACATTTCGTAAAGTTCCGAACAAAATTGTAAGTTCAAGAAGGGTAAAAAATAAGCCCTCAAAATACAAAAGATTTAACCTCAGTTATAGTAAATATTTGTTTAAAAAATGTGTAAAAAACATCTAACAAATACAAAATCAACAAGCTCTGACATATTGCAACAGTGATGATGCCATTATTGTGCACTTTTATGAGGAAAATAATAATTTTGACAATTTTTTGGCTGAATTTTGATAGTCTTTGCTTCAGCTGACTTTGGCCACATGCATGGACCACAATATTGTTTTGTTACGCTGTGTATCTCAATTAAATACATATTTTTTATAACAAATTAATTATGGTCCGAGTACACAGTTATTTCGTAGTGCATTTCTTTTAGACAATAAATGAAAATAAAAAAAATCCCACCTGTGCTTTCTCAATAATATTTTTACAGTGTGTTGTACTACTTTTGGGACAAATTATATCAAAATTATAGAAAACTTCATCGGCTCTAGTCTAACTCAAAATATGGACAATTCTATGTTAAGGGGGTCTTGAAATCTTTTGACAGCTTCCGAAGTGCTAATTTTTAACCTTTTTCAGCTGGACCAAATCACTACTTTACTTTACAATTCATGACCCAAATTTTTTTACAGTGTAATTTCATCCCCCTACTTGCTATTTGAGGCATAAAACATGAAGGAATACATTTGGAAGGGGTACTAAAAAAATTGGCAAGCAACACACTGTCCACACTAGGGACTTTATTCGTGGACAACGAAAATCAAAGGACGATAACTGTGTACTCAGACCTAATAGGATAGAAAAATTTGACCAATCTTAATAAAACTTGGTATGACTAAAGCTTAATAAATTATGACACTGCTGACAAAGTTTCATGGCAATAGGATATATATTATAGACAATATGATAAATTCTATATTCAACTTCGCGTGTTAAATTTTGACGTTTAAATTGAAAAATTTCAACTATCAACATTTGGGGCTTTAAAAATTAAAATATTGCAAAAAATTACATTTTAAAGGCCTTAATATATGACATATTATGTATTTAAAGCAATAGAATACTCATTTGATTTATCAGACTTATCACAATTATTTAAAAGTCAGATTTATATGAGCCTGTGCCAAAAAATGGAGGTTTTCCAATGAAGGGGGGCCTTACATGAAGATGTATTATTTTCCAGCAATTTTAAATTTGTAGAGTTTTTTGGTTACAAATAATCCTTACATATGTATTAAATGTACTTTAAATGGAAAGAAAAATTACAAATAGCATACCATATTAGTATAAAAGGGTCTTAAGCCAAGTAAGACTGAAAATAATTTAGGGTCAATTTAGGCCGTAGCACATATTTACATTTAAAAATGCATACTGAAGCTATAGGAAATAAAAATTTGTGTCTTTTTTATAATTTCTATACTCAGGTTACATGATACAATAAATCTGAGCATAAAAGGACTCTTGCATTCAACTTTTTTTGCAGACAGTATGGTCTGATACAAAGATTTTTCACTTTTTAGTGAAAAACTTGCATGCAATTTTAGCCTCAGCAGGCTTATATTTGAACCACTTGCTATTTAACATAAGAAAAGAAAGATACTATGTGAAATGAAACAGGTACAAAAGACATTGTGAAGTGCTTTTAATACAAATTTAATGAAATCTTTATTATGGACTTCAACTTTTATGTACCTAGGTCCTCACATTTAACTTGATCCAAACAGGCCGTTACACAAGGGTCATTTATACAACACATTTTGCACATATTGTCTGAGATAATCTTATTTTCTGTAGATTCAGAGTTCACAAATGAGTAATACAACTGGGTTAAAGCATAGAAACACAAATATTGACACAGGAAAACCTGTCAAATAGAAAGTCAGAATGCCACTTATGCATCAAAATTGAAAAAGCTTTGAAACGCTTATTTTGACCATATAATGCCAAAATGGGTAATTTTTGCAGAATTTCTATCAAATAAAAGTTTAAATCCTTTAGTTTCATGCTATCTGACAAATTGACACCATTAAATCATTCAGGGAAGTTGCCAAAGTACAGATTCTATATTTACTGATTTCGCCTCTTAGGTCCGAGTACACAGTTATTTCGTAGTGCATTTCTTTTAGACAATAAATGAAAATAAAAAAAATCCCACCTGCGCTTTCTCAATAATATTTTTACAGTGTGTTGTACTACTTTTGGGACAAATTATATCAAAATTATAGAAAACTTCATCGGCTCTAGTCTAACTCAAAATATGGACAATTCTATGTTAAGGGGGTCTTGAAATCTTTTGACAGCTTCCGAAGTGCTAATTTTTAACCTTTTTCAGCTGGATCAAATCACTACTTTACTTTACAATTCATGACCCAAATTTTTTTACAGTGTAATTTCATCCCCCTACTTGCTATTTGAGGCATAAAACATGAAGGAATACATTTGGAAGGGGTACTAAAAAAATTGGCAAGCAACACACTGTCCACACTAGGGACTTTATTCGTGGACAACGAAAATCAAAGGACGATAACTGTGTACTCGGACCTAATATGGTCAATACCCTAAAAAGCATTTAAACAAGAAATATGACTAAAACAAGTAAAATATCACCGTTATAAGCTATAAACATTGTTTAAAATAAAAAGTAGACAGTATATATAACTAGTTTTATCTAAAATTGTTTATGTTATATAGCAAATAGTGGTTTTCAGATATGATATTATAAGTCCAATTTTCAGGGCCAAATTTAGGCCTTCCTAGTTCAACTCCTTTCACCCAAGCTCATTCAACTTTTTGGGGAATCATGGGGATTTATTGTAATAACACATACCATAATAAAAGTTGAGGCAAACATTTCATTGGTTGACCTAATAATTATTAGAACTGAAACTATATTGGAGTGTTGTCAGATACATTAAAGCAAAGCATGGACACAGGATCGGTTTGTCAACTAGGTTGGACGTAACTATTTGACTTTCTGTGGATTGAGTCATCCAAGGTAAAGATTTCCATCATGATTTCTGTGTTAAATATTAGATACATGTTTTATTTTCTAAGTTATTTCCACAGGTCAAATTGATTAGATTAGGAAATTTATTTAAAAAAAACTTAATTGAAAATAGTTTTGTACATAAATAATAACAAGGTCAGTCAATTTGAATAATGGAAGTACATTTACTTGGGAAACAAAAAAAGTCCTTAAAGATTGAATTACGATTTCATTTTGTTTATTTCAGTAAAAGTTAACTTAACCACTTTCATCAGTTAAAGTTTTATTCTAATGTTCCTATTGGGTAAATAGAAACTTTAAACAGCAAAAATTATCAACAAGACAGGATCTACATGTAAGTCACATAGCTAAAATTGTCCACAGATTTCTTATAGGAGTTACTGCTCTATATTGACAATTTTATACCATGCTTTGCCTTTTGATAAAAATAAAAATAGAATGTAGAGAGAAGCTCCAAAAAGCTAAATCGTCAGTACAACAAGATTTAGAAATAGTTCAAGGTAGCGGAAATTATCTGCCCACCTCTTGGGAGTTTACCCTTAAAAGTAAAATGTTGATTTTTTCCCATTTTTATACGACCGCAAAAATTAAAAATTTTTTGGTCGTATATTGGTATCATGTTGTCGTCGTCAGCGTCATCCGAAGACAGATGGTTTCCGGATAATAACTTTAGTATGAGTTAATAGAAATCAATAAAATTTTAACACAAGGATTTTAACCACTAAAGGAAGGTTGGGATTGATTTTGGAGGTTATGGTCCAAACTGTTTAGGAATTAGGGGCCCAAATAAGCATTTTTGTAGTTTCCAGACAATAACTTGTGTTAAAGTGTATGAATCTCTCTGAAATTATACCACAAGTTTCCATACTACAAAGGGATGGTTAGGATTGACTTTGGGGGGGGGGTTATGGCTCAAACCATTTAGGTATTAGGGGCAAAAAAGGGGAAAAGCAAGGGTTTTTCTGGTTAAAGGACAATTGAGACAATTTTTAAAAGCAGTGTAAGGGAGGTAATCCAAATCAATTTAAATAACAATGTTTGATTACCTCCCTTACACTGCTTGTAAATTATGTATTAAGAAATGATGATTGTCTGAGATACTGACCATAACTTGAGGGAAAGAATTATTTTTTGGAATAAGGGAAAGGGGGGAGGTGAAAAAAATTGGAGGGAGACAATCTTTCTCATTTCAGATTTCAGAAATTAAAAGAAAATTTCTTCAAATATTTTTTTTTTGGGGGTTAATATTCAACAGCATAGTGTATTGCACAAACGCAAAAAAACAGGGTAATTTTTTTTTGGGGGGGGAGGGAGTCAATTCGCATAGTGTATTGCACAAAAGCAAAAAAATGAATATAAAGTCAAATCATATAACCAATTTGAAGTTCTTTGACTACAGTTATTCTGTGTCAGAAACCTATTATGTGTCAAAAATTTAATTGCAATCCAAATTCAGACCTGTATCAAGCATGAATATTGTGTCCATTTTAGCCCCAACTTTTCAGGGTTGGACATCTGCAGTCGTATACAGCTGCGCACAGCAGAGAAATTTATTGAGTTTTGGGGCTATAACTATAATACAGGAACAACAAGAAAGATTTTAGTCATGAATGATATATTCTATAATGTTGGAGATTACACTTGCTGAAGTTCACAATGATCCTGGTGAGCAACACTTGTTAATAAACAAACAATTGTCTGTTATTTAAAAAAAATAATAAGATAAATAGACTAAGAGCTGTTGATTGATTACTGTATTTCATGTTTAAGAAATGTTTGCTAACTAAATATGAAATTGTATAATCAAATTATTCATTTCTTATTTTATTTTTAGGGTTTCTTATTATGAAATGAAGGTTGATGATAAGCCACATATGAAAGAGAAGAGCTCTGGTATAACAGTCTGCACTGGAACTGGATCTACATCCTGGCATTTCCATATTAACCAATTGTCTACAGACGCTGTAAAAAATATACTCAGCATATGTAAGTTCTAACTTTAGGACTTAGTGTAGAAATATTTATGTATACTTGAAAAATGTTATTATGTACCATATAATATGGTCCATATATAGCATTTCTATTTTTAGAATAATGTAGCCAACAACTAAAAATTTCATAGAATTTGGAAATTTCAGATCAACCATTTCAGAAAATTTTAACTGAAATTTGAATTCTCAAAAAAAAACAAAAAAAAACCACAGAAACATGCATTATTCTACCCCAAAATTCTAAAACAACTTTATTGATAAACCATGTCAAGACTATTCCATCGTAATGTCAAAACAAACCAAGGACATTTAAACCAGTGTTTAAGATTGTAGTCCTTAATTTTCTTGTCATTTTATGTCATAAATAAAACCAGCTATATTATGACCTCTCTATATGAATGGATGAAAAATTTCCCATGTATCAAATTGGTTAGACGGGAAAACTGTTGATCAAAAATTAGTTTAAAACTTTGAATTGAAATGAAAGTATTCTCACAGTATTTTGATATCATTGCAGCTAATAGTCTTTCAAGCTGTAAAGTTCCTGTTGAGGATACAGCATTAATCAGAAAAGTAACAAAGAAATTCAATGAATCACTGGTGTTTGACCCAAGTGAACCAAGAATGGCTTACACAATCAGAGATCCTATTAGAAATGGTAAACAAATAAATAAATACACCACTTACATTTAGAGTGAAGTAATTTCTGTTTCAAATTAAATGGATAGAAAGACAGTATGAGAGGAAAAGAAATGATAAGAGCAGTAATTTGATTTTGGCCACTGCAGTGCAAAAATTATCATTTTAATGCTAGAGCCATTTGATGAATTTTTCATTTTAAAGATGTGTACCAAAAATGATCATTATATGCATATAATTTTGGAAAAAATTGAATACAGACAACAGCATTACCCATAAAGTAGTTTGAATCACATCAACATATTGAGAACAAAAATGTTGTCAAATATTACGAAGGTGGAATTAAAGAAGAGGTTATTGTCATTTAGATGGACTGCACAACAATTTCAATAAGCATACATGCTACTAGAGAAGAGTGAAATAATACACATTAAGAGAAGATATCTTAAGAACAAATACACCCTAACTGTAAAAATATGAGTAAATACACTTTAAATACAGGAAAACTTTCTACAGCCTCATAACAACATGAGAGACAAATTCTGTGAATGTAATAAAAAATTATTACAATTATAACTTGTGTTTTTGTTTTCAGATGTATTCAGTGTTCCATGTGTCAAAGGATTTGCAAAAAGGTATGTTAATCTGACAATCATTGGATGGGGTCTATCATGTCCTAACTCAGATAATTCCATTTATAGATAGATGGACAGAATAAATACAAAAGTACATGCTAGAAATACTATTTTCGCAAAATTACCCTTTTGTCTATATGCACGATAGATTTAAGTTAAGCTGCAATAAATTTCTAGGTGTCAACTTTCTAAATTATCAGTAGGATTATTTTTTTCAAATTGGAAATCTCCCATCTGACAGGAAGATAAAATCTTGAAACAAAAATTCTAAAACTTGCTTTCTATAAGTATTTGTTTGTATCGAAAATGTTGACAAATCATTGTCAAAACATAGTTTGTTTATGCAGTACATAGTGCTTACCTTCAAAACCTAAAAAGAATAGCCAAATTAATCTTAGGTTAAATCTGCCTTAGGAAGTTGGAACCAGTGCCAGTAAATGAAATTAAAACTTTATGAAAACATTTTCAGGAAACTTGGAAGTAAAACTTTGTTTTAGATATACTTTAAAAAGAGTAGTTTGTAAATATAATTATAAGCAGAAAAGAAGGTTGATAAAGAAGTGATCTCATAAACAAACATTCAGCTTGTTGAATAAGAAAGGCAGATTTGTTTAACTTTATTGTAGTGAATTTTTGCTAAAATTATGATGTCTAATAGAAATTTTTAGATTTTCACTTTGGTTTAAAAAAAAAATTGTCTTGCAACTGCAAGAAAGCAATTCTTAAAGGTCTAAATTTTGATATAAACAAAGCAAAAATTACTGACCAACATTTTACTTTTCAGAATACAAATCCGTTCAAGAATGTGGGATGCTCATCTTGTTATAGATGGTGGGTTTTCTTACAAGTTCAATGATGGAGCTATTGCTACATTAGAAATTCATGACGAAGACGCCTTAAAAAGTGTGGAGTTTGATTAATTTCATGCCTTATTTTGTATATTTTTGAATGCTATGTCCAATGGACGCTCAGGAGTTCAAAGTTAACTCAAATATGCAGGCAAATCTTAGTTCAATTTTTTTATTTTCAATACTTTTCTAGTCTTAACGACCAGAAGTTATTTTAATATCTAATTTAAAAGATGTTAAACATAAACATCAGCGACACTTTTCACAAAATATCTTACGATTAAAATTGATTGTAAGTTATACTGAAATGTGTATGACTTACAAGTTTTTTTACTCTTAAGATTTTTTGTGAAAAGGGCGGCAGACGTTTTTAAACTTTTTCCCTTTTACACTTCAGAATTGAATCAAATTTGACAAAAAAGAATAGTTTCAATTGATTATTGTAAGTGTTTTGTATATTATTAAATAAATCACTAATTTCTATTGCCTCGTAGAGAAGTAGTATTTTTGGATCTCTTCTTGCGGGAATAGATAACAGGTCATTCATTATTTATTATAAATTATGTTTCTTTTGCTAGATGAATATTGTTTACTATCAAAGTTTTGTTTGTTTTGTGTTTAAAGTTGAGTTGTAGACCTAAATCTTTATTTTGTATCAAAAGATAAGTGCCAAAGATATTGTTACTAGTCTGTCAGTATTATGTCAGTTTTAGATCTGATTTGATTTTCCCTAATTTAGTAATTAATTTTAATGTGATAAAAATTGCCATTGTATATTAAGATTCCAAAGTAAAGTCATTGTTTGGCTGGGCAGCAGTCACTAACCATTTTTTTTTATAAAAAAAGTGAAGTTTTTTGTTAACATTGCTTTACCTCATTTTCATAGAATAACCATAAGTTATGAAATGTTGTTTGTAGATTGAAAAAGGAGGATATGAACATGATATAACAATTTAAAAAAACACACTATTGTAAAAAAAAATCTAATTTGTTGTATTTGTTATGCTTGAAGATCTAAATTACTAGGCTCCATAGCAAGACAAAGATTCCTCAGACTAACATTTTCTCAGCATTTTTTCCTGAAATATGTGAAAGATAACCAGCTATGTCCCATGGTTCATTCAGACTTAAGATTCCTGAACAATGGTTTCAATTTAACATCATCTTTGATATAATTAGCCTCAAACCTTGAAAGTTGCCTTTAAATTTTATGTGAAATGGTGTATAATGTGTGTTTGGATATTCATCATTAGATTTTGTATAACCTTTCATGTAAATCAACTTTTTAGTGCATAAAAAACTTTTTTATGTGGTTTCTACTGATATTATATTTATATAATATATTAAAATAACAAAAAAAATATTTTGAATACTGCTAGATAAAGGATTCAGTGTGAATACTCAACTCACTGTGTTATTTTGAGCACAATTTTGTTGAATGTTATTATTATGGTTGGGGGAATATCATTGTTAATGATTTATTTTAATAACAGTTATAAAGATTTGTTATTGTTTGTATCAAAATATTTTCTATATATTTACAATGTTTATAGGAAAGATAGGAAAATTCTAATGACATAAGTACAACATAATGCTTATTTTGTTAATCATATACTTTATTGTATAGTGTGCCTTGGGATAACTCAGTGTTACCATGAACTCCTACAAAATAAGTAATTAATTTTGATTTTCTCAAAAAGTGTACCTTTTGAACATACCAAAAATTAAAAAATGACCTCTCAGATCAGACATGAAATGCCATTGAATGCTTTGAATGTGTGTTTTTTTAGAGGAAAGGAAAGTATATCCAAATTTTTTTTAAAAATATGTCTTGTTTGATAAGGCTGTATATCCAACTAGTATTGAGAATATGTCAGAATGAGGCAATTATAAATTTTCAAGAGGAAATTTGAAGAATGATGAAATAGACCTTAAGTACTATCTGATTTATGAATTTAAGGGCCAAAAGGATTGTCTTAACACTCTATACGCAAGTATCTTGAAATAATTAGGACCTATTTTAATGATGATACATTACTGAAATTTGTAATTAATAAAAAACAATTTAGATAGTGTGATGCTGATAAAATCCTTTTAGAAACCACTGTTAAAAGTCATATCTATAGCAAAGTTGTGAATAATTAAGAAAGTTTCCAATTTATGCAACAAAGTAGTCATTTCTATTGTGTTCACAAAAAATCAGAAAAAGTTATAAAGTGCTTTTTTCTTGATTCTTAAATGAAACTCCTCTTCATTTTTTGCCAAATTGAAACAGAGTATACAAGAAGCTATTGCTGATTTGTGTAAAACATATTCCTTACGTACATTCCTGTCCAAATAGTCATTAATTATTAAAGGAAAGAGCTTTCAACAGTAATCAGTGAAATTAATAATTGGAATAATTAAAAAGAAGTATATGTCTGCTGAGTGTTTATTTTGTTTGCCTAATGAACCTTAAGACCAACCAGTTATATTTTGTTAAGCACTATAGCTCTACTTGTTTATAGGTGTTTAAAACCCCTATATATTCAACCAAATTTTTCAATTTTCACAGCTCTCTTAACTATTTTACCTTAAGTTATTCATGAGAACCATGTATATCTTGAATTGTTCATGCATCACCTTTCTATATGCCAATGTTCAACCAATGTTTGAATCTTGTAGTGAAACATGAAGTTGCAGAAGTCACCTTTTACTGAAAATAGCACTCTGGTTTTTAAAAATCTTCAGTAAGCATACAGATGATGATGATGGGTGGCTGCTTAACATCCAGCAGCAAATTAATATGCATATTCAGGACAAGATCTTGTTAATGTTATATGAATATTAACCCTGCTTTGTACAAGACCGAAACGTTGAGATGGATTTTTACCTGCTAGTTCACAAGGTAACAGTCCACAGGAAGACATGTCACCTTATTCGGACACATTATTCTGATTCTGAGCCGTCCAGTCTTTGCTCTTACTTCTTAATGCCGGGAGCTTAGCGGAGAAGCAGCAAATACCAATTTTGAAGTCTTTGGTTTGACCCTGTCAGGGTTTGAGCCCACGACCTCCCGCACTTGAGGCTAACACATAACCACGAAACCACCCAGGTGGTAGTAAGCATACAGTAAGCACATCCACCCGAAATGCAAATTCATGGACAAGTAAATTTTGGCTCAAAAATGGTACAAATATATTTCTAATTCATAAAAGTTATATTCATGTAAATGAATTTGCTAGTGTTAGTAAACTACAACATCAAAAGCTCTGATTTGTCAGAAAGAGCTACTTTTATATTATTCTCAAAGCTGATTGGTTGAATTTTTCTGTGTTCATATGTTCTCAATGTTGATTGATTGAATTGGCATAAGTTCTCAAAGCTAATTGGATGATGAGACACTTACTATACATGTTATGGTGACAACTTTCAAATTCATCACATCAATAGTGAGAAATGTCACATAGACACCCTGACCTTGACCAGGTGTACTTGTATAAACATCAAGTTTATATGAGTATGTCAGTTTCCAAGTAGCTGTTAGTAATATAGGTCACACATATTTGGTCTATATAGTCAATGTAAGATGTATGTCCATCTGACAGGAATCACTTTATCTTGACCTTGTTTTCATGGTTCACACGAAGGTTTGTTATTAATTAATTAAATGAGTACTATCTGATTTATGAATTTAAGGGCCAAAAGGATTGTCTTAACACTCTATACGCAAGTATCTTGAAATAATTAGGACCTATTTCAATGATGATACATACTGAAATTTGTAAGTAATAAAAAACAATTCAGATAGTGTGATGCTGATAAAATCCTTTTAGAAACCACTGTTAAAAGTCATATCTATAGCAAAGTTGTGAATAATTAAGAAAGTTTCCAATTTATGCAACAAAGTAGTCATTTTTTTGTGTTCACAAAAAAATCAGAAAAAGTTATAAAGTGCTTTTTTCTTGATTCTTAAATGAAACTCCTCTTCAATTTTTGCCAAATTGAAACAGAGTATACAAGTAGCTATTGCTGATTTGTGTAAAACATATTCCTTACGTACATTCCTGTCCAAATAGTCATTAATTATTAAAGGAAAGAGCTTTCAACAGTAATCAGTGAAATTAATAATTGGAATAATTAAAAAGAAGTATATGTCTTTCTGGGTGTTTATTTTGTTTGCCTAATGAACCTTAAGACCAACCAGTTATATTTTGTTAAGCACTATAGCTCTACTTGTTTACAGGTGTTTAAAACCCCTATATATTCAACCAAATTTTTCAATTTTCACAGCTCTCTTAACTATTTTACCTTCAGTTATTCATGAGAACCATGTATATCCTGAACTGTTCATGCATCACCTTTCTATATGCCAATGTTCAACCAATGTTTAAATCTTGTAGTGAAACATGAAATTGCAGAAGTCACCTTTTACTGAAAATAGCACTCTGGTTTTTAAAAATCTTCAGTAAGCATACAGATGATGATGATGGGTGGCTGCTTAACATCCAGCGGCAAATTAATATGCATATTCAGGACAAGATCTTGCTAATGTTATATGAATATTAACCCTGCTTTGTACAAGACCGAAACGTTGAGATGGATTTTTAACCTGCTAGTTCACAAGGTAACAGTCCACAGGAAGACACGTCACCTTATCAGAACACATTATTCTGATTCCGAGCCGTCCAGTCTTTGCTCTTACTCCTTACTGCCGGGAGCTTAGTGGAGAAGCAGCAAATACCAATTTTGAAGTCTTTGGTTTGACCCTGCCAGGGTTTGAACCCACGACCTCCTGCACTTGAGGCTAACACACAACCACGAAACCACCCAGGTGGTAGTAAGCATACAGTAAGCACATCCACCCTAAATGCAAATTCATGGACAAGTAAATTTTGGCTCAAAAATGGTACAAATATATTTCTAATTCATAAAAGTTATATTCATGTAAATGAATTTGCTAGTGTTAGTAAACTACAACATCAAAAGCTCTGATTTGTCAGAAAGAGCTACTTTTATATTATTCTCAAAGCTGATTGGTTGAATTTTTCTGTGTTCATATGTTCTCAATGTTGATTGATTGAATTGGCATAAGTTCTCAAAGCTAATTGGATGATGAGACACTTACTATACATGTTATGGTGACAACTTTCAAATTCATCACATCAATAGTGAGAAATGTCACATAGACACCCTGACCTTGACCAGGTGTACTTGTATGAACATCAAGTTTATATGAGTATGTCAGTTTCCAAGTAGCTGTTAGTAATATAGGTCACACATATTTGGTCTATATAGTCAATGTAAGATGTCCATCTGACAGGAATCACTTTATCTTGACCTTGTTTTCATGGTTCACACGAAGGTTTGTTATTAAATGAATTTCTAAATGAATTTTTCAGTTAAAACAAGATAGAAAAATTTCAGATATAAAGATTTCTGGCAATATACATGTGCATCTGAACTTTTTCTGTGAAAAGGTCACAACTTCAAGTTTAGGGTTTCAAAAACAAATTATGTTTGTCAATTTCTTATTAATTTTCCTATCCATATACCAACAAGAGACCACATGCTGAAATGTCTAGCTTCATTTACTGATTCTGATTGAAGTCTTGTTATAGGTATAACCATGGAAGTATAATACTTCCATGGTATAACATAAACTTAACATTATCAATGATCCATGATAGGTCAAAGTCAAGGCCTGGTGAATCCTACAAGACAGACATTTTTGCCTTACATACATACCATACACCAAATATAATTGATCTACTGCTTATATTATATGAGAAACATCATAATTAAGGAGAAGTTCAAATGAACCCTACAAGACTGATATGTATACCTTGCAATCATTCCATACACAAAATAGAGTTGGTCTGTTGCTTATAAAATCTGAACAAGGGACTTAATCTCAAAAACTTCATGTTGATCAATTATCCATTACAAACATGTTCACCTAACAATCATTCCACACACAACATATAGTTTACTTATAGTATCTGAGAAACAGATTTAAACTTATAATAGATCAATGAAGCATGAGAATCAGATGAAGATCAGATGAACCCATTAACACCTTACAATAATTCCATACATTAAAAATAGCTGACCTACAGCTTATAGTTTATGAGAAACAGACCAAATAAAGAGCACTAAAAGTTGACCAATGAGCCATGAAAATGAGGTCAAGGTTAGATGAACTTGTCAAACGTGTAAACCTTACAATAATGACACACCAAATATAATTGACCTATTGCTATAGTATCTGAGAAAAATAATAACCAAAAGCTAAACATTTATCAATGAACCATGGCATTAAGGTGAAGGTCAGATGAACCTTGCCAGGCAGACATGTACACCTCGCAATACAATCATTCAATACACCAAATAGAGTTGGCATGTTGCTTATAGTATCTGAACAAGGGACTTAATCACAAAAACTTCATGTTGATCAACTATCCGTGACTAACATGATCACCTAGAACAACCTTTCCACACACAACATAGAATTGACATATTACTTATAGTATCTGAAACACAAACCCAATCAGGGAAATTTATAATTGAACAATGCGCCATGAAAATGAGGTCAAGGTCAGATGCACCTGTCAAACTCATATGTACACCTTACAATCATTCCGTACACTAGATATAGTTGACCTGCTTCATCGTTTCTGAGAAACATAACCAAAAGCTTAATATTCCTCGATGATGTATGACATTAAGGTCGAGGTCAGGTGAACCCTGACATACGGACATGTACAAATTACAATCAAACCATACACCAAATATAGTTGACCTATTGGTCACATTATCTTAGAAACAGACCTAATCACCAATAATTGATGTTGAACACTAATCCATGAAACGGGATCAAGGTCAGGTAATCCTACCTGAAGGACAGACATACCTTTATACAAAATTCATTTTACCAAATATAGTATTCCTATGATAAGAGAAATAGTCTCTTTAAAAAATGTTTTCATAAACGGTAGCTGAACCATCAAAATAAGACTTTGCCAGACGGAAATTTCAGAACATAAGGCATCTGTAAACAAGATAAGAAGTATCCAGGTCTTCTACCTTCTAAAAATGAAGATTTATGCAAAAATATAACCCCGCCGAGAAAGAGATAGCGACCCTTTCCTCCAAATACCTGATCTAATTAAAATTACATATTTAATTGCTCCCGTTCCTGATATGTCGCGCATCTAGCTGATGGAAAATAATTTAATTGCTCCCGTTTTCTAATATGTCGTGAGTCAGATTATTGGAGCAAGTATAGATTTGATTTTCATAAGATTGCCGAATACAACATTTTGTTTGGGGAATTAGTATTCCACTTTTTCCAGGGATTTTTACCTCACTTGGGCTTAAAAGACCATGTGAGCTATTGTCATCACTTGGCTTCAATCGTCGTCCGGTGTACACTTTTTCAAAGATTTTCTCCTCTGAAACTAAGTACACTAATTTCAACCAAACTTTGCATTCATTGTCTTATGTCATAATAGATGGTGAAAATTTGACAACATCAGAATGTCAAGTTCTATCTACTTCCTATTTTCACCAAAACTTATTAGATGACTCCTAACGGAGTTGTAATCAGCAGAGACATATACACATACACATATGTGTATATATGTCTCTGTTATCAGCAATACAAGATCTACATAAATGCCAGTATGACTGAAATTATTGGATAAATCCTAAAGAGTATTTTAGTGTTTTTGCTATTATCTCGAAACTATAATAGATAGGTAGAAACTGTAAACGGCAAAAATGAACAACAATACAAGATCAACGAAAATGCCAATACAACTAAAGATTTCTAAAAGAGAAGCGAAAGATACCAAAAGGACATTCAAACTCATAAGTCGAAAATAAACTGACAACGCCATGGCTAAAAAAGAAAAAGACCAACAGACAAACAACAGTACACAAAACACGACATGGAAAACTGAAGACTGAGCAACACGAACCCCACCAAAAACTTGGGGTTATCTCAGATGCTCCGGAAGGGTAAGCAGATCCTGCTCCACATGTGGCAACCGTCGTGTTGCTCATGTTAGTACAAACCCGGTAATAAGTCTTATTCGGTAGGTCACATTCGCCGATTCGGGGAAAAGGGGACTGGATTGTAGTAACGACATTTGGAACATAACCGCTATCATCTGTAAAACGGATATTCCATAACGGTCAACCAACTCGTGATGGCGTCCGTAAAATTTACGAAGGGATGATTTAAATTTCAAGTTTTTTTTATAACTGTATATGTTGTATCCTTTATCTCATGGGATAGATGCGTTCAACATAGTCATTGGCCTTAAATGACGATTTGTGTGTACTAATTTTCGTGAATGTAGTAAACTTTTTCAAGGATGTACTTCTCTGAAACTGATGAACCAATTTCAACCAAACTTTGGGTGAATGATCCTTAGGGTATCTTATATAAATGTTTTGGTTTTTTTTAATTCCGTTCAGCCAACCAACATGACTCCCTTTGCTAAAAATAGAACAAATGGGGACTCTGAAAATTCATTAATCGTCTTATAAAATGAAAAACATAATAGAAATGGAAAATCTGACAAAGAACATAAATTATGAGAATGTCAAGATCTACCTACTTCTTATTTTCACCAAAATTATATGATTCCTTAAAAGAGTTATTGCCCATACATGATGATTTTTTTGCTTCTTCAAATATGTGATTGATAGGTATAAAATTAACACTAATAGCAAAAATGATTCGGTAATATAAGATCTACAAAAATGCATTTTTTTGCCAATTATCTTGAAAATTAAAATAGTTGTGTAGAAATTGTAATAAATAATCAGCTTAACATGATCTACAAAAAAAAAACAATTTGACTGAAACAATTGGTGACTATTTAAGTGACGATTTGTAACAAATTTTCGTTTTTTTCTTCTTTTCCAATTATCTCGAAAAGTATGAATGATAGGTAGAGATGTAAAAGGCAAAAATGATCAGCCACACAAGATTTCAGATAAAAATGTTAAAAAAAAATAATAAAAAAAAAAATGAACGACTCCTTAAATGGCTGATTTTCATATATATTGTATAAAAATAAGGAGATGTGGTATGATTGCCAATGAGACAACTACCCACCAAAGTTCAAATGAAGTGGATTTAAGCAATTATAGGCAACCGTACGGCCTTTAACAATGAGAAAACCCCATACCGTATAGTCGGCTATAAAAGGCCCCGACATTTTCATGTATATTATATAAAAATAAGGAGATGTGGTATGATTGCCAATGAGACAACTACCCACCAAAGTTCAAATGAAGTGGATTTAAGCAATTATAGGCAACCGTACGGCCTTCAACAATGAGAAAACCCCATACCGTATAGTCGGCTATAAAAGGCCCCGACATGAAAAATATGAAACAATTCAATTGAGAAAATTAACGGTCTAATTTATAAACGTTGAAAACAATTTACAAAAAAACAAATATGACAGACATTATGACTGTTATCATGGCTTGAAAACTACAATAGATAGGTGGAAAAAAATAAGCATACATAATCAACAATTCCAAGATCTATAACGAAAGTAAACAGATGCCTTAATTATGTTACGAAGTTTCCTTCTTTCATAATTATGTCAAAGTTCTTGACCTCATTTTCATGGTTCAGCGACTGCTTAAAACATTTTTATATTTTTTTTTGTCATGTGAATTTCTCACATATAATAAGTGATAATTATATTATATATGGGTCCCTTGCAAGGTCTACATGTCCGTCAGACAGGGTTCACCTGACCTCGACCTTATTTCATGGATCAGTGATCAAGGTTAAAGTTACGTAATTATAAAGGTCCGTTTCTCAAATACTATAAGCAGTAGGTCAATTATAGTTTGTGTATGGAATGATTGTAAGGTGTACATGCCCGTCTGGCAAGGTTCATCTGACCTTGACATCATTTTTATGATTCATTGATCAATGTTAAGTTTTCCTGGTTAAGTCCGTTTTACCGATACTATAGCAATAGCTCAACTATAATTGTTGCACGGAATGATTATGAGGATTATAAGGTGTACATGTTTTGTCTGTCGGGGTTTATCAGACCTTGATTTCATTGTCATGGATCGTTGATAATGTTAAGTGCAGTAAAACCTTTGGCTTTCACCTTTATCCTTAAGAATTCCAAAATAAAATCAATCATGGCCAGTAAACCCCCTTTATATCAATATAACAGAAATGTATGTGCCAATAACATATAATTAAAAAAAAAGTACAAACGGTGTTCGGTGTTTATAATTTGTATACGTCAAGATGTTCGAAAATTAGCATAGCTAGTGACGCCATTTTACACCCGGCTGCTCAGTCATACTGATGTGAAGGATATATTTTGTTATCCGAAATATTTATTGAATTTTGTTTTGTTTCTTAATTGTTTTGTATTTTTGTTTTTTGTTGTTTGTTTTTTATCAGTTAGTGTTTTTTGTTTTTTGTTTTTTTGTTGTTGTTTTTTTGTTTCATATTTTTTTTTATCAGTTTGGTGTTGTACACTTTTCAGACGCATATATTTAGACCGAAAAGCTGGTCGTGTTAATCAATATTCGAATTTTATAACATGAAGCAACTTCTAATCACACAAATTATAACACTTATGGAAATAAAATGCAAAGAAAAATATAAAAACAGCATCAATTTGCCTGTTTTACTCATTGCTCTATTTTTAGAAACGGCGGCCATGTTATTGATCGGCGAGAAGTTTAAACTGAACACCTAAACGGGTAATATATGACAGCCTGATCAACGATTTTTCGTTTAACTTGAGACATAAAATATACCAGGTGCCTTGGTGAACGAGTGGTTTCATTAGTTCATTTACAGTGATCACTATCCGGTTGATTATAACGTTTCAATTATGTGTTCAAATCCCTCTCGTGGCAAGGTGCGTTCGACTCCGATCTTTACTGACTATAGGGTTGGCTGTTTTCTTATCCATGGTCGGAGGTTCTCGATCTCTGGGTACTCCGGCTTCCTCTGCCAATAAAACTGGTGTGTTGAACGTGGCGTTAAACACCAACAATCAACCAATTCCAATTGATCAAAATTCGAAGGAAGGTCGGTACAAACAACGAGGATAATGACAAGAATAATTGGAGATTATACCCAAGACTGATTATGATGAAGTCTGGTCTCTAGACGTTTGGATTTTCGAGTTCTGACACTCTACTGCGATTGGCCTATTTTTCGCCGATTGACCTCAAACTCTCGCTAAACGAGCACGTTTGGAAGGTCTTGAAGTGACTGAAGCGTTCCGTGTCTGGTTACGATTTGGGATAACTGTAACTCAGTAATATATGCAGTATATGTGTTATAGTATTCTCATTTAGATTCGTTATAGTTATGAACTATAAAACAAAAGGTCTAGAAAGCTTTTAACCGAATACATACATAAAATATACATATATATACTCATATGGTCCAGGTAATTGACACGATGAACGTTGAAAAGGTGTCACGTTAATTAAGAGCTCCCAAAAATGAAATTTTGACTTATTCAATCATATGGACGTCATTTTTACATGATTAATTTAATAGAGTGAATATTACTTACAAGTAAGAATTATACATGTAGTAAAATAATTTTGATTGATTTGATTTTTGGTGTTTTAACGCCACTTTTAAGCACCGCTTTTGGGCTATTTCGTGGCGGCCAGTTTTTATGGAGGAAGCCGGAGTGCCCGGAGAAAACCACCGACCTTCGATAGAAAAACTGACAATCCTAGTCAATTAAGATTGGAGTCGAGTGCACCCGCACGAGCGGGGTTCGAACTCACAACCTCAGTGTTGACTGGCTATTGATTACAGTAGTAACTACTTAAACCACTCGGCCACCGAGGCCCCTAAAATAATTTTAACATGATCATTATTGATTTGTCCATACGAAACGCAATATGTCGACTTTGGAAAATTACTTCAAGAAATATCTAAACGAACTGTTAAACAATACGTAAATTGCTTAATTCACAGTCAGGCACTTTGGTCATTGAACCCTCTTTCTTTTCTTTTTAAAATTTCTTCCGTTATTTAAATTTGTTTTTATTAAATCATAATTTCTTAAAAATTTCTTAATGTTTTTAGTAAATTTGTTCATGTGTTAATTCTTGCTCCTATTCATACGATCCTACAATGACAGTAAGATCGCATGAATAAGAGCAAGAACACATCAATTTAATGAAAATAATAAAAAATAAGAAGAAATTTTGTTTTCGAAATGATAATTAAAACACTAAGAAAACAGAAAAAATGCATGCCCCAAACGCATGTGGTTTCACTTATGGACGGATATCGGCAGTATAAAGCCGATTTGAATTGACTCTTAGCGAATGCAAGATAACAGATACACCAAGATTTAGACAATATGTAAAAGATAACTTGAAGAATTCAGATAGTAACTTGTGTCGTTTTTTGTTCAGAGAATGACCTGTACGTGTGTTCTTGCAAAGAGAGATAGAATTATTCGAAAAATACCTATATGGCCTAAATACTCGTATGGTCCGGCCCATTAATAACCAAACGAGTAGAGTATACGCATATGGTCATGATCATACGCGTATGGTCCAAATACTCATATGGTCCAAATACTCATATGGTCCGGAACATCCACACATACAAATACACTGAAATACAAATATTTTTATTGGCACAATCTCATTAACAATAAATGGTTAAGACCTATTGCATATATATAATTATATTAATTGACATGGTAGAATATAAAGTTACATGATAACATATCATGATAGAATGAAAAGTTACATATTGATGTATCATATTAGTTCACTATATAATTCCTCATATTTAGACACTCTGACATGAAAGAGGAAGACAGTCTAAGTAATAATGCTGAGCTATTGTTAACCAATAGAGATATTTTTTCATCAGTGGTAATGTTACGGTGTACGTCACATATGTCACAGTGCTATCTATGAGTATATAATTTATTAATAATTCTAAAAGTTTCAATAGACATTGTACACATTCACGGATAATACTCTAAAATCAAGGGAAGACGTTATATTTCCGTTTAGGCTCATTAGTTTGAAAGGAGCTGATTTCCTTAAAACGTTTGCTCATTCTGGCCTTTTACCTCTGGGTCAGGTAAAAACCCTCCAATTATTGTATGCAAAAAAGACGGAATTTTTGAATGTCCATTCCGACATCGTTTGTGGTATTTATCTGTAAAATCTGAGTTTTATCAGTTTTCTATGTTTTTGTCTGATTTTAAGATATATTTTTCATTTGAAAACCTTGTCTGAAAGAGTTTTTTTCAAACATTACTATTTATTTTTTAGCGTTTGTTTTGTTTTGAGATTATTATAGAAACATTACAATGCATGACGGGAAAACTTTGCGCCATATTTGTTACTTGCAAAGAAATTCATAAGTGATTGAACTATTTAAAAAGAAAAAAGGAAACTTTTAAATGAAAAATGAACATTGACAGTACCTAAAACAAATACAGGAATAATTAGAGAAGCCATAATAAGTCAGTTTGTTCAATACTAAAACAGATAATAGACTTTTTAAACAATATTTTGAAGTAAACAATTCGCGGTTTATGTCTCTTTCGGCTCCATGTGTTGATATGCCAAATCATTTGAATTAGATAGCGATAAACCGAGTCCCAGATGTGAGACCGCCATCTCCTTGTAGAATTAGCATTAGGAAGAGAAATATCTGTGTACATGATAATTTGGATTTGGAGAATTTCAGAAATTGAGAAAATAGAATCCGGTCAAGGTCAACGTTCGACAACTCTGTAAAACGTTTTTGGCATGTCATTTTTGAAAGTTGATGATTCTTGATCAGCCGATGACAAGATTTTTTAATTTGTAAAATTAGCAGATTAAAGATGCTCTAGTCTTTAGTTTTCCAGTTGTCTGCAGCTGTTAAATTTCACCAGAAACTTTCTAATGTAAGGTTTATACATTGGCTACAATGACAAGCTGATTTCAAAACTCTGGCAACTTTGCAGTTGCTGTTTCATTTCTCTTCATTTCCATGATAGACTCAATGTGAAATTTTTCCTTGACAAATTGGTGTTGTTGTTTTATATTGTAAAGTGCCTTAATCTGTGGAGTGCAGTACAAACAACAGGAGTTAGTAAAGAATTTTCAGCTGTTACTGGGTTTAAGAAAAGAAGGAACATTCTTTAAAACCCTGGTAAGACATATTTTTTGATGCTTGTTTTTCAGGTTATTTATGTGATCATATTAAATTGGTATACATTGTACATATAGCTTTGGATTTTTCATGATAATTGAAAAAAAGATACCATTGTGCATCTTTATTTTTTGGGAACTTAAGTTTCATTTATAATGCTTATTTAATACTTTAAAGAAAAATAAACATTATTTATTTAATATTATTTATCCTTGTAGAATTTCTAAATACAGTCTCAGTCTTTGCGTTCAACCACAGCCCCAACAGCCCAGGCTTGTAAAAATGCTGTAGGGGCTGTAAAAATCATCTCTACAGGCCAATAGAATCTTGACTAAATTTTCTGTAAAATTCAGCATCAGGCCTGTAGATTCAAAAGTTATCGTGAAGACTGCAGTCTGTATTTCGCATTTCAAGAGCAGTAAAGTTGGAAGTCAATGTTATTTACAAACAATATTGCAAACTGCAAAGTTGTAATGAATTATGTATTTAGGGTTTTCTGACTAACCCTGATTTTGAGCTTCATTCGGAATGTTTTCACTAGTATTTCTTCATCAAATGAAAATGACACTTTCTAAATTTTGAGCACTCTCTGTCTCAAGGTTCTCATCATTGTTTTCATGAGGATATTTATTAGAATTCCAATTTTTGATATCATGATCCAGTTTGAAAATATCATTGTTTTTCAAGGTTCTCATCTGTGAGGGTTCCTGGGCCCTCTCTGCAAATCCTCATAATGGCATTCAAGTTGTTTAATTACTCAAATGCAACCGACCCAAAAATCTTGCTTTTTTTTTTTGGTGTTATAACTTTCTTTTTTCTGCTCCTCTTATTTTTACAAAACAAATCATTTCTGCATTTTCATCTTCTGTATCAAGTCTTCGTTTCTGCGTTTTCATCTTCTGTATCAAGTCTTTGTTTCTGTGTTTTCATCTTCTGTATCACGTCTTCGTTTCTGCGTTTTCATCTTCTGTATCAAGTCTTCGTTTCTGCGTTTTCATCTTCTGTATCAAGTCTTCGTTTCTGCATTTTCATATTCTGTATCAAGTCTTCATTTTTAAACGCTTTTGTGATACTGATATGAAACCACTCGTGGCAGCAAAAAACTTAGTTCACACTTGCGTGTTTTAAAAGTAGTTTGATCTAGTAACTCTCACAGTTTTTATATGGATCTCATTTCAGACCTAACGTTGATTACGAGATACATGTTAACCACTGGATGTTATCCAGATGCGTACTCAGTGAGAACTAAGCTTGCCCATTATAAAAACTAGTTTCCAAAACGTGATCGATATAGATCTGTCTTCGGGAACAGTACAACAACCTACATGTATATTTTGAACCAAATTGATGAATGATTAAATTATCAATACCCTGTAAGCTACAACTTAATTGAATTTAGAATTTTACTAGTTCATTTTGGAAAATTTCAGTTTTTTCTGATTGGGTAAGGGGCCCGGGCCAATATTCAGCCCTAAAATAAAGGCAGGGAAATAACTGTCTCACTAAGGATTGTAGGATCTTGGTGGTTTCGCCCCGATTCCTAAAGTCCTTTCATCCGATTCCTTTGGCTGTGAGTCATTTCACCCTGATTTTATAACTTGATACTGTTGCGCAAGAATGTGGTTAAGTTTTTGTGAATTGGCGACAAAACAGGTGTAAACAAATTGTCAGGTAAAATCTAAATGAATTTTAAACAACTGATAAAAATGAAATTAATAAGATATTTTCAGTAAGCTTTATATCTTTATTCATTATAATTTTTTTAATTTGTTAAATCTTTAAAGTTTATAAATATGCAACAAAACAGTGACTCTAGCATGTGAAATAGTTTGAAACACTTTGCCTTTTGTACGAAAATTTCAGCCACTCATCAATAAGCTTGCCATTTGATTTTCTTTGAAGGTAATGTTCATGATGATGATCTTGTGATGGCCACAAACAACGCTCCTAAGCACGATTTTGCACCGGCTTGGCTAAAGATTCCATCACAAGAAGCTCCTGTAAGTATTTGTAACAGTTATTTACTCTACAGCTCAACATGGAATTTATATTTTCAACCTGCTCAGTTATGTCTCCTTAAAGTTAACATAATGATCAGTAAAATATTGAGTTACTTATTTTTCCAATGTATTGTACATGTATTATATCCATCTAACAAAAAGAAATGGCTTGTCCTCTGTCAAGGGTGGATACAGGGGGCATCTAAAAGTTTTCATCACTCCCACCATGGACAGGTGGAAATGGCTAAATGGGAATCTATGTGAGCTGTAGTATATATACTCCTCAGTATTATGAAAATTTAATGTGTATATTTGACAAATGATTTAGGGTGTACAAGCTTAAGTGTAAAGATGGTGTTTTAGTAAAAGGAAAAATTGGGGAATTTGCCTTTATAATTAAATATACTAGACTTTTGTTTCTTCTTGAAGGGTTCCTTAGATGGATTCCCTGCATAGTGTATGTGAAAAAAAGAAGTCCACTACATTTCCGAAATAGTGAATTGATTTCATCCAAACTTTGTTTGTTGTATTTTAAAGATAACATTGAAGAACGAATCTCCTGTATAGCAATGTATTTGTAATCCAATTATCCTTCCAAACCACTGAATGGATTCAATATGAAAAAAATCACTGCTCTGTATAGTTTAATTGTTTTGTACTACTTGTTAATTTTTTGCATTGTATAGAATTAAGATAAGATTGGGCCTTTGTATTATATCTCCTTGCATGAACCTACAGTTTTCATAAAAAGGAACAACTGTATTTGCTTCCCATAATGTCAAATGTTTGTTCATGAATAAAAAATGTTGGTATATGGTAATGAAACAACACACCAACAACACAAAATCTGAATGTTGAAAATGTGCCGTACAGCCCTATATTTTGACCTTTGAAAAAAATAGTAGTGCATATGAGCTTTCCATTCTAGGATATAATTTTTTACGAAACTTCATAGTAAAAGTGGTACAGTTTTAGCCATAAGCGGAGTTCCTATGGGAAATTGCATTGTCTATATTTACAGAAATGCAACCACTAGAGTTTTTTTTGATTTTCCAGTATCTTATAGCTGTAGAGTATTATTATTATTCATTTGCAAGTGTTTAATATGGAATGAAACAAAAATTTTTTACATTCAATAAGGCACTAAATGGGTATTTTTTTTGGTTAAATAGTAGAAAACAACACGTTTAATAATTTCATGCGTCCGAAGCGCTTTTCTGGATTTACCTTCATCAGGAATGCTCAAAGCCAAACGTTTGAAATCCGAGGAATGTATAAGTACCGAAACAGTTGAAGAGCTATATGACAAAAATACCTAAAACAAATAGCCAAATTCATCTAAGGTCAATTTTGCCTGAGGGAGTTGAAACCTTTGTTTCTTTATAATTTCAAAATTTATAAACGGACAATTTTAGAAAAGTTTGTTATAAATCATGTCAGTACCGAAGTATTGACTACTGAGCTGATGATACCCTCGGGGACTGATAGTCCACCAGCAGAGGTATCGACCCAGTGATGTAAATAATAGAAAACAACACGTTTAATAATTTCATGCATCCGAAGTGAAGTGTATGTTCTTAAGCTCATTTTTGAGAAACTACAGATATATTATGATTATAGCATGAACAAAAAGTTGTTTGTTTTTTTATTAATCGTAATCACAACAATTTCTTAAGTTACATGTATAGACCTCATAAGCCGTTTTCGGCTGGCATCCTTTAACTTAATGTTAGGTTTTTATGACGTTGTGTACTTGTATATATTTAGATATTGTAAGGGATAGTGACACTTAAATAAAATAAATAATCTAGTTATATCATATTTGTATTAGAAATTACAACTTAAACATTCATAATCATTATAATTTAGTTAATTCTTATGTAAATTATTCTTTAGAAGCAATCCGGATCCAAGCCTTTTGATAGTGACAAGAGCAACAGCAGACCAAGATCTCACAAAGATGATTCTTTCTTTAGTAAGATAGTTATTTTTATGCCCCCGCCGTAACGGTGGGGGCATTGATTTGTATATTAATTATGTTTTCAAAACTTATGTATACGGTCAAAAAGTTGTGCGACAAGTGGATATATATTAGTGCCTATAACATTGAACATATATATATATATTTATCACATATTTGTTACGAATATGTTGGGTTTTGCATATGTAATAACCTCAAAATTGCCCGGGGCAAAAAAAAGGTTATTGGTTATTGTGCCCCGATTCCAAATGACGTGACGTCATTGCGTCCTTAACAACAATGGCGAACAATGACGGTGCTCGTTTCATCGCAGTGGAGGAAAGCGATACGGCAGTCTTTGTAGAGCAAATAAAAAATGCTAACACAAGGGAAAAAAATGAAAATTCTAAAGGAGTGGTCAAATAGTGCCAGAGAATGATGCAATTGTGTATTGCCATATTCCAAAATAAGTGGAAATGTGACAATAAATTTCTATGGAGTAAATGATAAAAACTAAATTTGAAAATGAGATAAAAATTTTGTGATAAAATTTTTAAGATTTTACCTGTTATATTTCATTGAGTTGTTATAATTGAACTTTTTTCTCCTTTCTGCAGAACTTAAATATGTGATAAATAGATTATAACATGTCTTTTCCATATTGGCCCGGGTATCATCCTTCGACCCATATCGGCCCTCGGCTAAAGCCTCGATGCCGATATGGGAGTCTCAGGATGATACCAGGGCCAATATGGAAAAGGGCATGTTATAATCTATACATATTGATCATGAGTAAGTACAAGTTTAATGAATTACAGAATTATTCCAATATAACGTTCCTTTTTATATGACCGCAAAAATAATTTTGGGTTTGTATTATGCTATCGTCGTCGTCCGAAGACACATTTGGTTTCCGGACAATAACTTTAGTTTTAAGTGAATGGATCTCTGAAATTTTACCAGAAGGTTCAATACCACAAAAGGAAGGTTGGGATTGATTTTGGGGGTAATTGCCCCAAACGGTCAGGAATTAGGGGCAAAAAAGGGGCCAAAAACAAGCATTTTTGTAGTTACCGGACAATAACTTGTGTGTCAAGTGTATGGATCTCTCTGAAATGGTACCACAAGGTTCGATATCAAAAAGAGAAGGCAGGGATTGAGATTGGGGGTAATTGCCCCAAACGGTCAGGAATTAGGGGCAAAAAAGGCGCCAAAAGCAAGCATTTTTCTAGTTACCAGACAATAACTTGTGTTTAAGTGTATGGATCTCTCTTAAATTGTACTACAAGGTTGCACAGTATTGGGCAATAGCACAGTACTCCGCTGTGATATTGCGCAATAGCAAGAAATCTTCAATTGCACAGTATTGCGCAATACTGTGTGAAATCTTCAATTGAAAATAAAAACAAATCTTTTAACCAATTTCAATTGGATTAATTTGAAGTTTTTAATTTTTCAAGCTTGAATATTGTGTCCAAACTTGCCCCAACTGTTCAGGGTTCGACCTCTGCAGTCGTATCAGGCTGCGCTCAGCGAAACATTTTATTTGCTTTGTTTCCAAAGCCATGTTATAATTCCAATAGAATATGGAAATTTTTGGTGTTGCTCGCTAGGAAATTAAATTAAATCATTCTTAAAGTAACTTTACATGTATCTGTTAACTTTTTTATTGTGAAACAGTTGATTTTCTATAATGTTTTGGTTTCATCAAATCAAAATGGCTGCCTATCGAATGTGTATTATAGGTCCGCTTCGAAGTACAAAATATTTCTATCATGCCATGCACTATGAACAGCACATGTTCAAAATCAAAACTTCCCTTCCCACCCCCATTCATTGCAATGGAATAGCCTTTACTGTATCAGTTGACTACCCCATTCATTTGAGTGGAATAGCCTTTACTGTATCAGTTGACAATGTGATTAAAGACATGAAAATATTCATTAACCATACTTGTTGTTGAAATGAGATAATGAAATGTGAATGTTTTATTATAGATAAGCGACACCCTTTAACAGGTGGCAAATACAGACATCATTCAGTGGAAGACGATTACTACAGTGGATATCCTCCGTATGGTCCATATGGTTACTACAATGGCTATGGCATGCCCTACAACTCTCAGCCTTCTATTTATAGATCACCTAGTCGTGAGGGGAAGTACCCTCCAAACATGAGATTTAATCAGGTATTTTGTTTTATTAACCCTTTCAATGCTATACACGGCATATGCCGCAATAATGTACGCCGCCTGCCACTGCTGTTCGGGGCATATGTCGCGATGACGATGGACTTTTCATACAGACTCGTAACCATTCGGTTTTCATTGGGGTCCTCTCTAATTCTCTAAGGATACACGAGGTCCTGTATGCGCTTGAAATCGCGGGAATTTTAATGGTAAAAGCATGCAGTAGAAGAAAAATTTAAAAAAATATTTTGACAAATGCAAATGGCAGAAATCGAAAAAGACAGAGTTCACGAAAGTGGTCGGTCCTGTCGGTCAAAATGAGGCTCGGACCAGTATTTTGAAGGCTATTGCCGGTCCTGATGACAGATGTAAAAACGGCCGTTGTAGTGCATATTTCGGCACTTTTATACGACCGCAAAAATTAAAAATTTTTTGGTCGTATATTGGTATGACGTTGGCGTCGTCGTCGTCCTGCGTCGTCCGAAGACACATTGGTTTTCGCACTCTAACTTTAGTTTAAGTGAATGGATCTCCATGAAATTTTACCATAAGGTTCAATACCACAAAAGGAAGGTTGGGATTGATTTTGGGGGTTATGGTACCAACAGTTAAGCAATTAGGGGCCAAAAAGGGGCCAAAAATAAGCATTTTTGTAACTTCCAGACAATAACTTGTGTGTAAGTGTATGGATCTCTCTGACATTGTACCACAAGGTTCCATATCACAAAGGGAAGGCTGTAATTGATTTTGGGGGTAATTGCCTCAAAATTTTAGGAATTAGGGGCCAAAAAAGGGGCAAAAAACAAGCATTTTTCTAGTTTCATGACAATAACTTGTGTGTAAGTGTTTGGATATTTCTGAAATTGTACTACAAGGTTCCATATCACAAAGGGAAAGCTGGAATTGAGTTTGGGGGTAATTGCCCAAAACGTTTAGGAATTGGGGGCCAAAAAGGGGCCAAAAATAAGCATTTTTCTAGTTTCCAGACAATAACTTGTGTTCAAGTGTATGGATCTCTCTGAAATTGTACTGCAAGGTACCATACCACAAAGGGAAGGCTGGGATTGAGTTTGGGGGTGATGAATCATAAGGGGGTTCAAAAAATTTGGGGGGGGGATTTTTTTTTTTTCTTTTTTTTTCTTTTTTTCCTTCTTTTTTTCTTTTAAAATTTTCCATTTTAAGTTGGTTATTTCTGATTTATATTTAAAAGCAAAGAATAATGATATGGTAGGAGATACACACCAAACAGGATGTGTAAATTATTATATAATAAGTATTGTGCAATAGCAAGAAATTTTCAATTGCACAGTATTGCACAATAGCAAGAAATCTTCAATTGCACAGTATTGCGCAATAGCAAGAAATCTTCAATTGCATAGTATTGCGCAATAGCAAGAAATATCCAATAGCACAATATTGTGAATAGCAAGAAATTGTCAATTGTACAGTATTGTGCAATAGCAAGAAATATTTGATTGCACAGTATTGTGCAAAAGAAGATACTTTGTATAAATTGCTTATTTCTTGATCAATTTCAATGGGGTTTTATTCTTGAATTCTTGGGGTTCTTTAATATGCTGAATCTAACCGTGTATTAAGTTTTTGGATTTTGGGCCCTGTTATTAAATTGGTCCACATTGAGGTCCAAAGGGTCCAAAATTTAACTTTGTTTGATTTCATCAAAAATTGAATTATTGGGGTTCTTTGATATGCCAAATCTAACTTGTATTTAGATTCTTAATTTTTGGTTCCGTTTTCAAATTGGTCTACATTAAGGTCCAAAGAGTCCAAAATTAAACTTAGTTTGATTTTAACAAAAATTGAATTTTTAGGGTTCTTTGATATGCTGAATCTAAACATGTATTTAGATTTTTGATTATGGGCCCTGTTTTCAAGTTGGTCCAAATCGGGGTCCAAAATTAAACTTTGTTTGATTTCAACAAAAATTGAATATATGGGGTTCTTTGATATGCTGAATCTAACCATGTATTTAGATTTTTGATTTTTGGGCCCCGTTATCAAATTTGTCCACATTGAGGTTAAAAGGGTCCAAAATTCAACTTTATTTGATTTCATCAAAAATTGAATTCTTGGGGTTCTTTGATATGCTGAATCTAACCATGTATTTAGATTTTGGATATTGGACCATAATAGGTGAATGTCCAATTTAAGTTTAAATTTTTAAGTTCTTAGACCACATTCATTCTGTGTCAGAAACCTATGCTGTGTCAAATATTTAATCACAATCCAAATTCAGAGCTGTATCAAGCTTGAATGTTGTGTCCATACTTGCCCCAACTGTTCAGGGTTCGACCTCTGCGGTCGTATCAAGCTGCGCCCTGCGGAGCATTTTATTTACATCGGTTATTAGATGTACCGCAACTGTTTCCAACAAGTGTTTACATCGGTTATCAGATGTATCCGCTGCCAATTTCTGGTACTGGTTTACGGATTTATTATAAACAAACCAAAGCGGCGATCTACACGTGGCCTACTTAATTTGTCCATAGAGCCATCCCTGGCAAACAATCGGCAATTGAACCCTACAATGGAGCAAACAAATACTGTAACAGCCGAGAAAGTGATTCAGATGATGAAATGGATAGTGAAGATGACTTTATATAAGAACAATCAGAAGACCTGAACTGGTCCTTCATTGTTAATTTGCCTGTGGGTGCGAAGAATAAAACTAATATTAATAAAGTTATTTTTCGATAAAATATGTTATCAATTTTTTCTGAGGATAAAATTGACAGATTTTGTAGGACTGGCTAAAATTTTGTAGGACTGACAAATAATCATGCTTTGTCGGTCCCATGACCGACGTGTCAAAATAAGTTTTCGCGAACTCTGAAAAGACGCTGTAAATATGGAAATATTTCAGCATTTCTATGGTGAAACTGACAACGAGGAATAGTTAAAAGGTTTCCCGTTATCTCAATGTGTTAATTACATTCAATTATCTCAATGTGTTAATTACATTCAATTTGTGTGGGAAATATGATTTGGTCAATCTTTTCGAGACGTAGAAAAAGGGGGGGAAACGGAGGTTGACTGAAAATTAGGGAATTTTGAGGACAGAGCCACTTATTTGCGCCACGTTTACATTATACGTTGTGTATGGTGCAAATACGCTATGGAATCGAGCAACTGGTGTCTTCTTTATTATATGGCAGATAAAACAACAAAATAAATGAAGATTAAAAGTTGTTTTTATTCAAAATTCAACACAAATACAATAATTTACACCTTTTACATGTTAATTACCTGAAAATGCAGGTAGCTTGATGAAAATTTTACTAAAATAATTGTATAACATTACAGTTCATGCTCCCCAGGGCATTTTTCATGCACTAACTTTGTATCTTTAATAATAAAAAAGATACAGCAGTCTGAAAAGGAATATACTGTTCTAATGAATGAACACAAAAGAAATGCAGCAGCAGCAGCAGCCATTTTTCTATTTTTAGCTCACCGGGGCCCTGGCCCCATGTGAGCTTATGCCATCACTTGGCGTCTGTCGTCATCGTCGTCTGTCGTCATAAACTATTTCAAAAATCTTCTCCTCTGAAACTACTGGGCCAATTACCTTCAAACTTTAACTAAATGTTCCTTAGGGTATCTTGTTTATAAATTGTATCCGAAGTTTGTATCCATCGACAAACATGGCCGCCATGGCTATAAATAGAACATAAGGGTCAAATGCAGTTTTTATACGCCTGTCAAATTTTTGACGGGACGTATTATGGTATACAAATGTCCGGCGTCTGTCTGTCCGTCTGTCCGGCGTAAACATGTCGCACAGTAACTTGAGAATGACTTATCCAAATTTCATGAAACTTAATATAGTTGTTTCTTATGATGGTCAAAAGATCTGTATACTTTTTGGTGAAAATAAGATTAAAACTTTTAGAGTTACGGGACTTAGTAACTAAAACAGGTGTGTGTTTTTTTTCACATGTCGCGCCGTATCTTATAAACAATTTATGATTATTGCTTAAAACTTCACACACTTCTTAGTTATATTAATCCTAAGATCTGTATACTTTTAGGTGATGATTCAAAATTTTATTTTAGAGATATTGAGTATTTTGTTAAAAAAGGGGGAGGGGTTTTTCACATGTCGCGCCGTATCTCAAAAACAGTTTATGATTATTGCTTAAAACTTTACACACTTCTTAGTTATATTAACCTTAAGATCTGTATACTTTTGGTGATGATTCAAAATTTTATTTTTGAGTTATTGAGTATTTTGTAAAAAAAGGGGGAGGGGTTTTTCACATGTCGAGCCGTATCTCAAAAACGATTTATGATTATTGCTTAAAATTTTACAGACATCTTAGTTATATTAATCTAAAGATCTGTATACTTTTTGGTTTTGATTCAAAATTTTATTTTAGAGATATTGATTTTTTTGTAAAAAAAAAGGAGGGTTTTCACATGTCACGCCGTATGTCAGAAACTATTTATGCTTATTGCATAAAAATTCACACACAAGACGAAGGGCGTATCATGCGCTCATGGCGCAGCTGTTTATTGGCTTATATCTCAAAAACTAAATCTTTTAGAGCAAATGTGACATGGGGTAAAATTGTTTAATTGGTCAAGATCTATCGGCCCTGAAATTATCAGACGAATTGAACAACAAAATTGTTGGGTTGCTGCCACCGAATTGGTAGTTTTAACAAAATTTTGCAGTTTTTTGTTATTATTTTGAATATTACTATAGATATATGTAAACTGTAAGCAGCAATAATGTTCAGCAAAGTAAGATCTACAAAAAAATAATATGACCAAAATTGTCAATTGACCCCTTAAGGAGTTATTGCCCTTTAAAGACAATTTTACACAATTTGTTCATCAAGTTTGCTAACATTTAAAAATCTTCTCCTCTGAAATACAGGTGAGCCATTCAGGCTCTTGAGAGCCTCTTGTTTTGTGTAGCATTGAAAGGGTTAATGTACATTGAAAATAAAGATATAAGTTATTTTAAAGAGACTCTTACAGGCTCTTAACAATATTTTGCCTTTTTGTATTATCACCATATCATCGTTAATTTTACATTTTGAGATTATTGGAAGTTATTGTATTTGGCATGTTTTGTATATATTGCGCAAAAGTCGTTTTTTAGCTCACCTGACCTGAAAGGTCAAGTGAGCTTTTCTCATCACTTGGCGTCCGTCGTCCGTAAACTTTTACAAAAATCTTCTCCTCTTAAACTACTGGGCCAAATTTGACCAAACTTGGCCACAATCATCATTGGGGTATCTAGTTTAAAAAATGTGTCCGGTGACCTGGCCAACCAACCAAGATGGCTGCCATGGCTAAAAATAGAACATAGGGGTAAAGTGTAGATTTTGGCTCATATCTCTGAAACCAAAGCATTTAGAGCAAATCTGACATGGGGTAAAATTGTTTATCAGGTCAAGATCTATCTGCCTTCAAATTTCAGATGAATCGGACAACCCGTTGTTGGGTTGCTGCCCCTGAATTGGTAATTTTAAGGAAATTTTGCAGTTTTTGGTTATTATCTTGAACATTATTATAGATAGAGATAAACTGTAAACAGCAATAATGTTCAGCAAAGTAAGATCTACAAATAAGTCAACTTGACCAAAATGGTCATTTGACCCCTTAAGGAGTTATTGCCCTTTATAGTCAATTTTTAACCATTTTTCGTAAATTTTTGTAATCTTTTACAAAAATCTTCTCTGAAACTACTAAGACAAATTTAACCAAACTTGTCCACAATCATCATTAGGGTATATAGTTTAAAAAATGTGTCCGATGACCCCGCCCGCGAACCAAGATGGCCGACATGGCTAAAAAATAGTACATAGGGTAAAATGCAGTTTTTGGCTCATATCTCTGAAACCAAAGCATTTAGAGCAAATCTGATGAGGATAAAATTGTTCATAAGGTCAAGATCTATCTGCCCTGAAATTTTCAGACCAATCAGGCAATCCGTTGTTGGGTTGCTGCCCCTGAATTGGTAATTTTAAGGAAATTTTGCAGTTTTTGGTTATTATCTTGAACATTATTATAGATAGAGATAAACTGTAAACAGCAATAATGTTCAGCAAAGTAAGATCTACAAATAAGTCAACTTGACCAAAATGGTCAGTTGACCCCTTAAGGAGTTATTGCCCTTTATAGTCAATTTTTAACCATTTTTCGTAATATTTTGTAATTTTTTACAAAAATCTTCTCCTCTGAAACTACTAAGACAAATTTAACCAAACTTGTCCACAATCATCATTAGGGTATCTAGTTTAAAAAATGTGTCCGATGACCCCGCCCACGAACCAAGATGGCCGACATGTCTAAAAAATAGTACATAGGGTAAAATGCAGTTTTTGGCTCATATCTCTGAAACCAAAGCATTTAGAGCAAATCTGATGAGGATAAAATTGTTCATTAGGTCAAGATCTATCTGCCTGAAATTTTCAGACCAATCAGGCAACCCGTTGTTGGGTTGCTGCCCCTGAATTGGTAATTTTAAGAAAATTTTGCAGCTTTTGGTTATTATCTTGAATATTGTTATAGATAGAGATAAACTGTTAACAGCAATAATGTACAGCAAAGTTAGATCTACAAATAAGGCAACATGACCAAAATTGTCAATTGACCCCTTAAGGAGTTATTGCCCTTTATAGTCAATTTTTTACAATTTTCATAAATTTTGTAAATTTTTGTAAATTTTTACAAAGTATTTTCCACTGTAACTACCGGGCCAAGTTCATTATAGATAGAGATAATAGTAAGGAGCAAGAATGTTCAGTAAAGTAAGATCTACAAACACATCACCATCACCAAAACACAATTTTGTCATGAATCCATCTGTGTCCTTTGTTTAATATGCACATAGACCAAGGTGAGCGACACAGGCTCTTTAGAGCCTCTAGTTTCTTTTAAGAAAGAAATTTATTTATAAACATTTTGATAAAGCCACAAAATTTTCCTTAAGTTACAACAACAAAAAGGTCACTGTGATGTCAGATATGTCATTCATGTTATTTAACCAAACTTAACTCTTTTTAAAAGCAACATTCTCAACTATCAAGATATTATTTGAAGAATCATTGTATATGAGATCATGTATTACCAAAACATCTTTGTCAGAAGCTGTTGCTTATAGCAAAGAAAGTAGTTTACTCATTTAGTCCTATCAGAAATTGGCAACCATTTAATGCATTCATAATTAGATTTTAATTCAACATACTTCTTGTCATTGTAGTTAAATGGTGCCCCTTACCCTCCAGGATATTATGACCTCTACTCTTTTGATTACTATCATGGTGACCATTCTTACTACGCCAATTACCCTAACAGCAGAGTCAATAACAAACGTGGAAATTATGAAAGAGATGGAAGGACCAACTCCAAAGAAAAAGATGACAAATCAAAAGGAAAGGATGATGACAAAGACAAACCTCCATTTCAAGATGAATTCGTATGTCAATTTTTTATTGATTTATAGGGGCCTCTGTGGCCAAGTGGTCTAAGTAGTCGAACTACTGTATCACTAGCAAAGCCTGTCAACACTGAGGTTGTGATTTCGAATCCTGTAAGTGGCAGGTGCGCTCGACTGCAATCTTAATTGACTAGGATTGTCAGTTTTCCTACCGAAGATCAGTGGTTTTCTCCGAGCATTCTGGCTTCCTCCACCAATGAAAACTGATCGCCAAGAAATAGCACTATAGTGCTGAAAGTGGTGTGAAACACCAATCAATCAATCATTCTTATTAACATACTGTGGATTCATTTATTTTTTCATCATTTTCAATTTTTATGGATACATATATATATATATATTAGTTGTTTTGAAAAAAGCTTACAGAAATTTTGTATTTTATTAAACATTTGAAATTGTGTGGTTCACCGATAACTACAGAATCCATAGAAATTAGAACCCCACAATCAATAGTGAATCCACAGTAGATCAAATTATAAGTAATTTGTTTTCAGGATTGGTCTGATATGAATTTTATACCTTATTAAGTATTCATTATCATTTAACTTAATTATGACATTTGTATATGGATTAAAGCTTTTAGATAAGATCACCATAAAATTAAAAGTCTTGTATTTGACTATTATTTTTTCTTTTTTTTGCTAATTCTAAATTTTGTTTGTTTGTTTATTCCTCAGTAATTCCATTCTTAGTATTTTCAGTTCTCAGTTTTTTACATTTTTGATCAAAGAAAAGTTTGATGATTTCATATATAGAAATTACAGATTACTAATTTAAACCTATTTTTATGTAAAATTATTAGATGAAATAGTTTGATTTGTAGACATTTATACATGAATGAATTTATACTTGTAGCCGTCACTCAATGGGGAAGAAAAATCTGAGACATCTACGAATGGCAAGCTTACAAATGGCAGTAGTGTTTGGGGTATGTTATTTCTTAATAATGCTTTCTGTATAAACTAGCTAGGGGGATCTGAATCTACACATGTACTTACTTTATTTCTGTAAAGGGAGGTAAGTATTATTGCAAATTGTCAATGGATAAAACTTGCGTCTTCTTATTTTGATCACCACAATGGGAAAACTAGTGGACTAATTTGAACCAAAAGTTGCCTGGACATTATTATGTCATTCTTGTTCATGAATTTATTTTATCAGCAACATTACTATGATAAATAAAATAGTGGTTGTAGTGATTCCCAAAAGATGGTTAAAAGAGCAGGGAATGTTATAAATTAATAATGGAGGGCAGAAGGGTCTGTAAAATGTTTTTTTGTATTTTCATGTGTAAAATTAAAACGTCGGATTTTTATGTTTGGAAGAAACATTTTGTGAAACGTATGTTGATATTTTCCCTGTGTAATATGAATGTTAAGAGCAGATGGGAGCTGCAAAATGTAGATTAAGATTTTAATGCACAAAATTTTCTCGTATATATTCAAACAATAGCAAACTAATTAATTTGGACCTATTTTTCTATCAATTCTATGATTTCTGTCCTGCTAATTTTTATCCTGAGACTTTGTATCAGTTAACTGATAACGATATAAATGTTTCTTTCAATGTTAATCAGGGTTCTTATTAAGGTAAGTACAGGCGTCTGGATGGTCCATTTCATAAATCTGTGTGTCCGTGAGCCACGTCCTGATAACACTAGCTGAGTCCTGTTATCCCTCAACTGTCAAAAAGTAGCTGAAAACGTACTTCTCAATATTTTCACAGAAAATTTACTTTTGTTTTCATTCATTGCTATGAGTAATGATAAATCCAGAGAGTCGAAAATAATTATTATCACATTCCTTTGATAAATGCTGAGAAGATCGAAATCTGTTTACATAAGCACGTTTACCTATTACCTGCAATAAATGTGTCAAAAGAAGCAAAGTAATTATCAAACGATTACAACCCAATATATTCAAATGGATTATTAAATTATGTAACACAAACAATGTAGTTGACTAAAGGGATTAGAACTAGATTGATGCAATTAGCAGGATAAGTCAGAATAAGCTGGGACTCATCAGAATTGACTGGGACTCACCATTTCAAAAAGTGATGAGTCCCAGGACTGACCATAAATATATCCTAGTGAGAACCCTGGTTAATCTTTCGAAATTAGTCCGAATTGTTCCCCTTAATTATGACCTGTGTTATGCATCTTGGGACTGTAACATTTTATTTAATTTTATTTTGTTTTTTACTTTACCGGTTTTAATGTTTATATAACAATTTTGATTTTGTAGAGCACCCTCCTCATGGAAAAGGATCTTCAAGTAAACTATCAGACAACCGTCAGGCTGCCAACATTTATAAAACACTTGTGCCAAATAAAGTATGTATGATCAGGAACAAATATATATACATATTGATATAAAACATAAGAAGTGGTGATTGCAAAAGAGACAACTCTTCACTAGAGACCAAATGAAAAAAAGTACAAGCAACTATAGGTTCCTGTAAGGCCATACACAATGAGCATAACCTGTAATGCATAGAAAGCTATTAAAGGCCCCTGAAGGACAAATGTTAAACAATTCACATTGAGAATACTTCAAAAAGCGTTTAGCTGTTAAAAAAGAAAAGGGTTTTTCATTTCAGACCAGTAAATTGATATTTGCATCGGACGTTTAAAGGCTTTTTCTACATTAAATGTTTTTCACAGGAATTATATCCCTCAGAAATGTAAATTCAAAGAAAAGTTGCATTGTAAGCACTATCAAGCCTGCATTACTTGAAATCTATATAAATGGCTTATGTATATCACTAAGGTCTTGAATGAATTTTAAAATCCATGCTGATCAACTGTTTTTACAGGAGTTATAGGAAAAAAAATTCTATGGAAAATTGCATTGTTAGTGATCTCTCGTCTTCATTTGCGTAGGTTATTTATGAAAAATGGCATTTTTTAAAGAGGACTATATTTTGGTTGTTGTTTTTCATCTGACATGCATTGATTGAATTATTTTGAATTAATTTGAATTATAGAAAAAAACTTGATAAACACAAGTGACAAAGAAATTGAAGGCAAGGTTAACTTCATATATATATAAATATGACTAATATTGAAAAACTGAATTAGACATGAACTTTTTTATCAAGGTTGCAGAAGATAGCTTTTAAAATTTTATAATTATCCCCTGACACAACAAAATTGTTGAGGGGATACAACTTTTCATCCCCTCTTTCTTTTGTTTGGCTTTCCCAGTAAATGTCCAGAACTAAGCAACAACAAGTCAAAGAGAAATCAGCATTTGCCAGCTGATATATCATGTTTGGTCCACACTTGGCTTTATATTACACATGAATTGTTTTGGTTATGGTTTGCATCATGTTGTGTTGACATGTTATCTATATTTGACTCAGTTTTGCCATGAGGTATTTAGCTTGTACTAAAATGATTAAATGTTGTTTCACAGCAGAGTGCTATAAACAGAAAACCAGGAAAGGAAGGTCTTAGATTGAATGGTGGCTTACAGAAGGAACCATTTAGCTCAGTCAAAACCAATTCTAAAGAGGTAATAATTGATAGACTTAAGATTTTTACACTGTGCATTAGTGTATTCTTTAATCTTGTGTGAATTTACTGTGTATTTTTTTTTTATGAAATCTGAAGTAATCTACTATTTCAGATTCTAAAGGACTATAGGTAATTTCATTGCTGGTACAGTAGACTCCACCTAATCGGATATCGGCTAAACGAATATATCGGCTATTGTAATATTATTTCAAAACACCAAACCCTTCCCTATATGTTTAATGTTAATTTTATCGTGTAATCGAATATCGGATATAAGAATATATCGGCAAATCGGATAAGAATATTCAGGTCATTTTGTTCAAAACCATGCACAATCGGATATTTTCAATGTTTTTCTGACAGGAAATGGACCCGGAAGTTACGAATTTACAATCTTGCAGACAAGAAGATTTTGTTTTTACTAAATAAAAGGAACTATTTCTTAATAAATTGTTGTCTTTAATCATTGTCTTCCTTTGTCATGTGAATTAGATGCCCTTCTACTTCAAATGGTTTGAATTTATTCATAAAATATGCAATACTCAGTAGACAAGTTGACGTTGCTGTTTGGAGAATTTTGATTAAACTCTGAATGTTTACAGAATCAGAAATATAATCTAAACTGAATGTACCTCCTTCTGAATAATTTATTGCAATATAAATATAAATCCCTTTTGACAAGAGAAATCTGGCTTTTGTCAGATATATTTTTTTCACATGTGCAAAAGTAACCACATGTCATGGACGCCATTTTGGATGTTTACAAATTTGTGAGGAAGCCTCTAGAACTATGACCTAAATATAAATAGTCTTCAGAAAACGTAAACTTTATGCAATAATATTTTATCAATCATGATTATTTTCATAAATTTAAATTTGATTATTTAAAGAAATAAAATTATAACAAATACGATTTTAGTTTGGAGATTCTACACAGACATGCTTAGATCTATTTATAGCCAAATTAGTTTACCTGTGTGATAATGTAAATAATGGATATTAATTTGCTTACAAAACAAATAAAGACAAACTATGGATGGTAGATAATAATTCACATAAAAATTTCAGGACATTTGATTTATTTTAATAAATAAAGGATTTAAAAACTGCAAACAAATTTAATCATTACATAATCAGCTGATAATTTTTTACACAAACATCGTCGTGATGTAACTGATAAAAAACACTCCATCAATCCTCCAGCCCTTTCACATATTTAGCAATTGTCAGGGTTAGTAACATCTCAGGATTATATCTACTCATTATTGCAGAATATTCAATGAATATACATTCATCGTCTAATTGAATATATCGGGTAATCGGATATTTTTAGCTGACATTTTGGGTATCCGATTTGCCGGAGTCTACTGTACCTGAAAATGAATAATGTCATATCATTGATTGGTTGTCCATTGTATTGGACATTGTTAGGAAATTGTTTTGGTGTATACTTTTGAAAATATTACTCAGAATATATTTGGATTTTGAAAACCAAGTTGATTCCCAACTACAGATGTTGTTTTACTAAAGAAGGAGATGTTTGAAAGTTGTAGTTAAGAACAGATTCCAAAGATTTTAGTCCTATTATTTATGGGGGCAGTTTATATCATTGGAACAAGCCAAGTTAGTTACAGTCTGATGTTCAATTAAGGTTTTGACTTTATCCTTTTATCTGTCTAAGGGAGTGTTTAACATCCTACACAGCAACTTTATGCTCTTAGTTGGAAAAACTTCATCCATGAGTGTTTGCCCTTCCAAGTAAATATGACCAGCATATAAATGATTATTTCAGTTAATGATAATGAACTGTGATTATTTTTCAGGCTCCTACTTCACCAATAGAAATTCTTAACACTAGATTTGTTACCCAACCTCGTAACCTTGGTAACAAAAAGAGCGAATTTTTGAGAGCATTGAGAAAAGAAAATAGTGGATCTGACAGACAAGAATCAAGTCAGACTAAAGATGGATGGCCAATCAAGGTATGGAAAATTATAAATAATTATTGATTATTATACTAAACTAAACTTGAAAGATTTAAAGTTAATGGACAAGTAATCATTGAATTCTTATGTTGAATAGTTTGCAAAATCGTCTCACTTATGAAAACATTGACTTAAATGTAGAATCTCAAAACACTCTTATATGGTTATTTGTGAAGAAAATATATAAATCTGTGATTAAATTAGTATGAAACATGTTTGTGTATGTAAATAAGATGTTTTTTTCTCACCTGCAATATGATATCGTAAGAATGCATTATAATTCTCATGTATGTCTTCCTTTTACATTTTAGAATGATCATACAGACCAATTAACCAATGGAGTAGAAAGACTTGCCATGGATGATTCTTCTAACATGCTATCCAGTTCTTTAGAGGCTGAACAGAGGTATATTTTATAAGTAAACATACATGTAGGATTAATTCATTTTATGACAACTTCACACCCCACCCCAACAACATCTTAATTATTATTTGAAATAACTTACTGTGGAGAAGTGTTTTTCTTCATGGGTATTTCATATTTGTGAAATATCTTTGTTTTTGTCTCGCCTTGATGGAGTCAAAAAGCGAGACATAGGTATGCTGTTTCCGGCAGCGGCATCAACAATGTATTAGTTTGTGATTAGGTCTAGTTTAAGGTGAACCACTAGTGGTTGGTCAATGATATTTGGTATGCAGTTGTATTAGCACTGGCACATCTCATTTCCATGGAGATTATTTGGCCCTGCCCCCTCAGTCATGGTCTATTGACTTTGAAACTTTTGCTTAGTTTACATGTATTAGTATGTGATTAGGTCAGGTTATGGGGAACCACTGGTGGTTGGTCAATGATATTTGGTATGCAGTTGTATAAGCATTGGCATATCTCATTTCCATGAAGATTATTTGGTGACGCCCCCTCAGTCATGGTCTATTGACTTTGAAACTTTTGCTTAGTTTACATGTATTAGTTTGTGATTAGGTCAGTTTATGGGGAACCACTAGTGGTAAGTCAATGATATTTGGTATGCAGTTGTATAAGCATTGGCATATCTCATTTCCATGAAGATTATTTGGTGACGCCCCCTCAGTCATGGTCTATTGACTTTAAAACTTTTGCTTAGTTTACATGTATTAGTTTGTGATTAGGTCAGTTCAAGGGGAACCACTAGTGGTAAGTCAATGATATTTGGTATGCAGTTGTATAAGCATTGGCATATCTCATTTCCATGGAGATTATATAGCCCCACCCCCTCATCATGGTTCATTGAAACTTTTACATAGTTTAGAAGTCAATGTTTGTGTTTAGGTTTGTTGAAAGGGAACGATTTATGATAAGTCTATGGTATTTGGTATGCAGTTGTATTAGCATTGGCATATCTCATTTCCATGGAGATTGTTTTGCCATGTACCTTCAGTCATGGTTCATTGACTTTGAATATTTGCATAACTTACATGTTAAAGTATTGCTATTTAAATTTCAACATTTGCATTATCAAAATTACAAAAAGGCGAGACATATCTCTTATTAACAGTTTATTTAAAGATTAGAACACATTTAGAGACTATAAATGGAAAGGATGTATTTCGATAGTAACAAAATTTGTAGTTGGATGGAACAAAATTATCCACTTAAATTGATACACTAGAAACAATTATACTTTCACGGTACTACAATCAGACTATGTCTGCCTCCAACAGTGAGTATTTTAAACCAAAACTCTTCTAGGCTTGTTATACTCTTAGAACTGTTATCTGGTTATGATAGAAAGGTAATTTTGAGAGATTGGATACCAAATATTCTTTAGTTAACTGGCACATTGCTATTTCTTTATGTAATTATGAGCATTTATGATCTATTATCATACACTTTTTTCATGGTCAAATAAAACATACAATATATGATGTTTTCTCTGCTTTACTGTGTACAGAAATATTTTGTTAAGTGCATTAGAAATTAAACTTTACATTGGTCTAAATTTGAAAAAAAACATATGTGCTAATGCTTTCCAGAGATACCCCAATTTTGAGCTCAGAAAAAAAATTTATTATGATGATTTCTTCCTCATAAGGTTTACAATATATCAGTCGTTAAACTACTGATTTTATCAAAATATCTGACAGCATTGATGATGTCAATTACCTCATATTTGTTCATTGGTCAGATAACAAATTGGGAACTCCTTCAATTTTGGGTGCAGAAACCATAAACATATTTGTTTGGCCATGTTGTAATTGTAAGAATGGTTCAAAGGAATGCTTTGAAAGAAAAGTGTTTTTCAAGCTTTTGCTAAACCTGGTTCTTTTCTTTAATTAGGCTTCTAAAAGAAATGGGATGGAATGAAACAGATCAAGAGGATTATGAAATAACAGAAGCTGACAAGAAAATGTTTCAGGATCTCTATTCAAAACAGGTATTTTTCATAAATATTTACTGCCTTAAATCATAGTTTTGAAGTTCAAGATTGACAATTGAAGTAGATTTTGCATATGCTTGTCTGCTTCCTCAGTAATGGTTTAAGTTTCAAGTAAGACAATAATATTCAGAGATTTCGTATAAATATCAAAGAGATGACACCCCAACAACTGAAATTTACCCCCAAAAATAAGACATCTAGAGGACTTGATATGATCTTCAATTGTGAACAAGTATGGACACAATGAAATGGCTTTATATTGCCATCGCATGTCTGGAGCATTTTTTTTTCTCGGTCACTCCTCCTCGACCGTGAGACAAACTTATCATACTTCTGTATGGATTTGATCTCATCCTATTTTATATTTTGTTCACATATATTGCTTGGAGTTTCAGTGAAGTGCAAAAGGAAGCATATATTTCTAATATGCAATTTTTTCTAGACAGCTGGACAAAAACCAACCAAACTGGCAGACACTCTGCAAACAATCTTAATTATTCATTTTCCTGGAAAGATTGTATAGGGTTGCTAGAAATTGTAAAGTATAAATTTATACTGCTTTTTATAGGTTGGAAAAAATCTCCATATTGTTTTCTTTTGTGAAACAAATATTTACTCTGTCTTTTTCCCTTTTTTTTTTCAGCAAAACCGAAATACACGTGTGAATAAAACATTCAGCCCCAAGCATATTCCAGTATACCAGCCAAATGCTCAGGACTTAAATGACACTCTGTCATCATCAGATTCTGATTCTGATGGACAGTAGTGGCAGTTTTTTGCAGCAAATTAAACAGTGCTTGACAATTTTGTGATTTTTTCCTGGGAGAATTCTCCTATTATTGGCAGAGTTACTTCCCATTGACAAGTTTTCCTGTGAGGAGAAACTTTCATTAATTTGTGTGAGAAATGGACTCCGCTGTTTCAACTGCCGGTGCACAGGATGCACAAATGCAATCATAGGACTTTATTTACTAGTCCAACTCTTTTTTATCATCTGATCATTTAGCTACAGAAAGGAAACACAGAGAAAGTGTTAAATATTTCTTTAGGAAATCAAACCTATTTTTATAGATTTTTGTGAAATGTTTTGTAGATATGACAATGAGCATGAATAAATGATTTGAGTTAGTTAATGAAATACATAGATTGATATTTTAATTTTCCTTTTTCTGAATAATTTTGTTTAATAAGGTGGACAAGAAGTTTAAAACAAATCAAGACTACAAGATTTACATGTTTTGTTTGTATGATGGAATATTTTGTTGATTTGATATAAGCAGCATTTAGTGATCAGTTGAGTTTTTTCATGTTGAATTATAGTTGGCATTTAAATTTGTCTTTGCTTGAACTGTATATTTATGTGCCGGTATGATTATTTAAATGTAATTTAAGCTTAACAGGCACTTTTGGTTTATGTTCTGGTTGATGAAGCTAACTTCATTTGTAGCTGATTTGTAATATAATTTGTGTTTTGTATAAACTATCCTTTCTGTTCTAAGTAAGGCCAAAATGGGGAAAAAAATTGTTTAGTGTTTCTCTATCTACCTTATTATTATATGCTTAAAAATGCCTTCCCCTAAATATTGTCAGTCTTGACAAAATTACAGGTCTCCCAATATCCTCCAAATAATTAAATTGAGAAAAATTAAATAAGTAATCTGACTACCTACCCTGATTTTCTGGAGGAGGAAACCCTAAACACACACGTTTTTTGATTGGCCTAAGTGTTTTATAAGAATTATTGACACACCACATAAGAAACTATTGCACATTCTACTATGTATTCTTCAATTATTAAATAAAAAGGTACTTAAACTAAACAAAATATAGTGACAACACAATAACTCATCTTTCCTTCCCCTTCACTGATAAATATTATATCATCTCATGTGACACAAAGCAGTATTAAATGAATGATTATTTATTTGGACTCCAATCACTTATGTATTTATTTGCCTTGATAGCTTGCTTTAACAAACTGACCAATAACTCATCAACTAAATGTATAATGATTAAATGTGAAATGTGTATATTTAAGAAGTGCTTTAAGAATGAAAATGTGATTCTTTTCTTTGAATCAAAAGTCTCATATCGTTTGTGATGGTGTATAGGTATACATATTTTAATGATTGGGAAATTTTTTTTATTTTGTATTTTAATTTCCTCTACCAGTATACGAAATGCATCTTTAAATTAGATATTGATATTGTTGAAACCAAACCCAAATGAAATAAACCTACAAGATGCTTGAAAATAATATTATTGCTTTTCCTTTTTCTTTTGGAGTGTGATGTTCTTCATAAGATTAATATAATGTAGCCAATACTTTTTTCTTCAACAACGATTTTGTGACGAAATAATGGCTTTTAAAGTAAATGATTTGACAGATATATATGAACCCTCAAAGAGATAGTAAATATTTCTTAAATCAAGTTTTTCTTTTTAAAAAAACAATCAGGGTAGTTTATTGGAATGCAGGTGGAGGTAAAGAAAAGGGTTTTTTCTTCAGATTGTGTGGGAAAAAGTGAGATGTGTTGTATAATCTGTAAAAAATACAACATGCCCAGTTGTGTATTGTTGTCTAGCTTACGAATGGAATAGCTTAATTTGAAAATAACATTTAAAAACAGTATTAAGAAAATTGAAATGTAATTTCAGGGTCAGTTATTTTTGCTAAACAAAGCTTTTCTTTATTTGTTACCACAATATACAGATCATACAAAAGGGCATCTTGTTAATTTTCCTCTCCCACTTACCTCCCTTTTGTAAGGTTATGCATTGAATTGTATCAATATTATTTCAGCAGTTTTTGATAATTTGATGACAAAAAGTAAATACAATTTTGCAATCTTAATTATCCTTTACACTTTTATACGTATAATTTGTTTTCTTCAGTTATTTTCAAAAAAGAAACACATTGAATTTTGGGTTATAAAATTAAAATATAAAATCTGAGTCAGAATTTTTGATATGAACAATTAAGTGAATTTACGACTACCAATTGAAGTGAATTTGCCACAAGAGATACATTGGATATGTCATGGAGAAATATTTTAGATAAAAACCTGGTGTTGTGTCCTATTAACAAAAAATTTAAAACTTACAACCAAATGATTAAATATGGCTATTGTAACCCATATTCACACATGGGAACAATTTCTATACAAGCCACTACAAGTTTCTTAGGCTTCAGTTGAAGAAGCTGTCATTTGGGTCATATTGGTAACATCCACTTTATTTGAACTTTGGTGGATAGTTGTCTCATTGGCAATCATACCACATCTCCTTATTTTTATATATATCTGTATTGATAATGGTAGGAGTGATGTACCATATTTAGTATCTTCTTGTTCACAACAAGTGAATACTTGTATAATTTAGATTGTTTATATGTAGAAAATTTTAATACAATCAAATGGCTTTTATTTTTATAATTACAAATTAACATTTTATATTTGATGGCCATGATGCAGAAGAGTTTGAAACATGTTTAATTCATGATTCAATGAATACATCAGATAAAAATAGATTCGTTTGTCAATTTGGTATATAAATAGATATAAGGATTTAGAATAACATGATAAATTTATAACGAAGTAATCTTTTTAGGTTAATTGATCAATACTGTTGTAAAATATTCTTCTGACATTGTACCTCATAATGAGGATTTCCTGTCTGCTTTATTCTGTTAGTTTGGTTTTTTTTTTACTTTTCTGACTATCATGAAATAGTCTGTTTCTCTATTTTATTTTCCTACAGTAGTGATTTTTTTCTTCTTCTTATGACTAAAGGGAGACAACTATCACTATAAAGTAACCTGGTTATTGAAAGACCACAAACTTGTGGTTCTCATAAATGGTTGAGTAAAATTATGTTGGCCATAAAAAGAAAATTATGTTATCATAATGGCATTGTGGAACAAGTAGGAACTACATGTATGGTGGGGCATTAAATCAGAATTTCTAGGTCTACAATATAAGGAAGAAAATAGAGATTTGAAGGCCATTATTTTTTTAAATAAATTTATTATGAATAAATCCATGAAGGCTATAAAGTTAACATGTCTTCCTTTGTATGGTTGGTCCTTATTATTTTACTGCCTCAATATTTCACAATAGCAATTTAGTTTCTTTAAAAGTGCACTAGTTAGATCTTAATAAACATTACATGGTCTTAATAACAAAATACATGTATACTTGCAAAATAAAGACAAAAAAAGGAGAATAGCAAAGTCAAATATAAGCTGAAAAGAATTTAGTCTTAAAAAAGAATAAATTGCACAGTCATTTAGTTAATAAGACATATCATTCCAGAGTATGAAGATTTTTTTTATCATTCATGGAATCTTTGTACACATATAAATTACATCTATTGTTTCGTCCCATAAAATCACTGGTCCAAATTGGATTTTATTTCAAGTTTTTTATTTGTCAGGAAGAAGAAATTTGATTGAAGTGCTCAAAGTCTTTTTTATACATTTAGTTTATGTGACAGAATTTGTATAGCACATAGATTGTAATAACACTTGTCCGTTTTGCTACCATTCCAAAATACCTCTCAACACTTCACTTCTTTTGTGCAATCAAAATCTGTCAGTATTAGGTCAGTTTATTATCTTGCCTTTGTGCCTTAATTGACAGAGATATTTTATTTTGGTTTAGATAAGAAGCACATGTTTCACGAAGTAAAGTACTTACTAATCATTCTGGTGCAGATAGGAGTAGTTTTTAATATACAGAGTTACTGTCTCCTATTAGAAAATAATTTCCTTAGTCTTTTTTTTCCTTGTTTTACAAACGAGGTTATTGTTATATTGTTTGTCATTTATATAAGTTTAAATTTGTATGAAGTGTATCATTAATCAGGACAATTTAAATTCATAGATGTTTTTACACAATTTGCATGGAAATTGTATATGGTTGCTAGTTGATTCTCTTTGTTACCAGGCAACAAAAATTAATTGTTTGGACAAGGGTAAATATTTACTCATGTTTATCATAATTGTCTTTGCTTCACCAATATGACGAAGCTGCAGCTGTTCACAAGAAATAAAAAAAAGATGCATTTTGAGTTATGCATATATTTAACCTTTCTTTTCTTATTTCTTTTTTGCCACATTATGAGTTTTTACTTTTCATTCTCTTACGGCTACATTTCTCCAAAAGCATGCTTTTGACTGTCTAAACTTTATATTTTGATAACTTTGTTAAGGATATCCCAGAACGTGACTTACAAATATTATATGTTAATACCTCAAGGTTGGGAAGGTTGCTGTTGGACCTGCAGTTCCTAAGGGTACCATCTGCCCAGTCTGAGCACATCTCACATGACTCAATATAAAAATAAGAAGATGTGGTATGATTTTTATGAATCCTTACCTTATTTATTTATTTATCAATCCATAAGAATACCACATATACAGTTAGGTCTGCTTTATATCTCAACTTACATGTAGAAATTGTCAAATTTTCTATCCTGATTTCTCTGATAAAAGGCTCATACCTACAATGAAGCTAGGGTTCATAATTAGTAAATTGAAGGCATCTGTGACAATTTAATTTCTTTGATGGTTATGAAATCTCAGGGGACCACTTACTATTCAATGAGTAGTAGGGGTGAGCTGCTGGAATCTTCGAATATTTTAAGCTTCATAATATGATAAGTGATTATTTAGATTAAATACTATTTGAAAAGGTTGCTGATTATATCATTTGTATCTGAAACAACTAAATCATATGTTAATATTCATTAAAGATGTGATAAAAACCACAGTCATAAATGCATCAGATATTTGTCAAATCTATGAAATAGGGTAATATAGCTATAGATCTATATTTTTCTAAAAAAATATTATAGAGTATGTATGTTTAAATATTTAAAATAAATGAAAATGTGGGGGTACTGATGGTCTCAGCTGCTCACCCTTACCATAAAAGAATTGAATTGCCCCAAACACCCTCCTCCTTCCTTTTCCTTATAGACTCCTCAAGATAACACATCATTTACTTGTGATACTAAAGCCATTGATAATCAATCCATACAAGCTCAGGATTTAATTTCTGATCATTGTTTAGAGTGAAGTTTTTCATATTCTTATGAAATAGGATCTACTAGATGATATCTTAAGATGCTGCTGAATTGAGCATTTCAGGTGACAGAAAGACTTCAAAAAACCATTTCAGTCTCATATCTTATTCTCAAATATAAGGCAAATATAAGCCAAGGTGCAGACTCTGGATGCATTGTCTTAAATTTGCTGCACTCAGTTGATTAAAAAAATAGGTAAGATGTATCCCTGACTTAAAACATTTGAGGATATAAAAAATAACAGGTTTGTTACTCATTTTACATGATATTACCCTCGCCACATTTATATGTAAATGGTGAGGGAGGATGAACGAATAGTAATGTGCAATTTCAGGGTAAAAGTTTTGGATCCAAGTAATCCGTTTTATTCAGGAATAAAGACCAAGCTGAAATAGGGGAAAAGACTTCTTCAGATAGACTTTTATTTCATCTATCTCATTGTAATTAAATTACATCTTATCTTGACAAGGTTGCCAGTGAACAGGAATAATGATTAGACACTGTTTCACATATTGCTGTCAATACAGTTGGTGCTGCACGATAAAGCAGAGAAAAAGATGATAAAGGAACCTCCATTATCTTAGTGAAGTTAAGATCCCAGATGATGAGCAATAATCTAAATGCCAGAGTTTTAAGTGTAAAAGAAATGACAATGATATGTAAAATGAGCTTTGAAATAACAAAAAAAAAATTATTAAGCCTTTACATTGGGCCTAAAAAGATGGTAAACATGGTAAGCTTGATGGTCATAATAATTTGACGGGGACAACGCCAAAAGAGAATTTGTCCTAAAAATTTATTAAACTTCACATTCGGTAATGTCGAGGGAAAAAGGAAAGGTTTGTGGTTATGACAACTTTAACATATGTATGGTCATCATACAAATATCCCAAAATTGTCACCAAAATCATGATGGCGTCTGTAAAACTTGTAAAAAAATTACTTCTAATTTACCATTTTAATAGAACCCTTTGCACAATTCTAGTTCATTTGGATACATGTAGTCAACATAGTCATCAAGCTAACATTAATTCAGTGAAAGGACATCATCTATATAATGGAAATAATTTTGATTTTGATTTAGATTTTTGGTGTTTTAACGCCACTTTTAAGCACCGCTTTTGGGCTATTTCGTGGCGGCCAGTTTTTATTGGTGGAGGAAGCCGGAGAAAACCACAGACCTTTGATAGGAAAACTAACAATCCTAGTCAATTAAGATTGGAGTCGAGTGCACCCACACGAGCGGGGTTCGAACTCACAACCTCAGTGTTGACTGGCTAGTGATTACAGTAGTAACTACTTAGACCACTCGGCCACAGAGGCCCCCATAATGGAAATAACAGATGACCACAGTTGGTTCCCATAGGAAAGCTGATTGTCTGTTCAAAAACGTGTCCTCCAAATGAATCGCGTATGATGTTGTCAATAAAAATCAACCACCATAATGTCAGTTTCTTGGAACTTTTTGTTTGAATCATAATTTTTTTCAAGTATGGTTGTCCATTCCAAAAACCAGACATTTGTATCTGCGTTGACCATTCTGTTTTAAAAACTAAAGTATGACTAATTCTTTCAATTTGTCTTTAAGGTAAGTATGAGGAATACTAGTGTAAAGAGAAAGGAAACCCAGTTATTTTTATAATGTTGCATGAGATTTATTATAAGTACTCTAACGTTTTTTTTTAATATTTTTAGTATACACATCTGATTTTGCACCACCCTTACAGAAGGTATACTGATGGACTTTAAAAACGCAACAATAGATTATTACTTTTAGTTTTTAAATTCAAATTCGAAGGCAATGATTGCCTATGACCAACGCCTAAGTGACTGACAGAAAAGTCAACCAGTTCTGTTGGGCATGTTTTGAGTTCTGGTTTGTCCCTTGTGATTTGGCCTTTGCCTTACCGTTTACAGTTTGTTTTTGGCAATTATGCGGTTCAAATTTAGGCCTTCAAATGTTTTTCTGCAGACGATTCTTTTGCATTTCAGTATATGGGAAACTTTATGGCGTGAATCTGTTTTCCGTGACACCCGAAGACTTGATTAGCAGTTGGCGTTGCAGTAATAACACATGTCTCGCAAATGACGGTTGCGTAATTAAATTTTATTTGCGTGGCGTTATATACAGATTTATCTGGTCATAGGTGTTTAACAAATCCCGTCTGCTTATACCATTGTTGTAAGGACAGTGAGAGGAGTTTCTGACGTGAAATTGTCTAGAAACAACGTTCACGTATTCCTGCATGAAATATTCTTATGACCTGATTCAGGTTTTCATTGTTATGTTTCGACAATATGGAAATGCAACTTGTTTTACTGATTTAAGGCTGGGTATGAATTCAAAGAAATTTTTCACGAAAAAAAACCCTTGAAAAATCGTTTATGGATTCAAATCTCGCTTTAAAATTTCGTGCAACGTCAATAATCCGGTATGTTCAATTATCTCAGGTAAGTCAGGTATTGATTTTTTCTAAACAGAAAGAATAAGGGTAAGCATGGATATTAGTTATATGAAGATTACTCATGCTTTGGTAAAAAAATACCAAAATGCGTGTTGCGTTTTTAAAGTCCGTCAGTGCAGACTCAGTAATATAAATTGTTTCTAAGGACAGTTTTAATTTGGGTATCCATAACAGTAAAGGAATATCCAGTTTTTCACCTTTGAAACGCGCTCTTCGTTTCCAAAAGACTTGTCAGCGACGCTCGAATCAAGTTATAAAGCCAAATAAAGTACGAATTTGAAGAGCATTGAAGACCCAAATTCCGAAAGGTTTTGCCAAATACAGCTAAGGTTATCTATTCCTAGGGTAGAAAATCCTTAGTATTTTGAAAAAATCAAAGTTTTCTAAACAGTTAATTTATAATAAAACCGACCCATTCGTTTTCAAGATTTCCACGTTTGTAGGTGTCGTGGAAGTAGATGTCGATGTACTAAGTAATTTACAAATAGAAAAAGAGAAATTTTTGGGGACTTTCTCTACAAGTCAATATTTGTCATGTGTGTAGGTCAAGGTCTTAGCATCATTTGAGTCATATTCCCATTAAGTATTTTTGTCCTGACTTGTATCAAAGACCTCACAGCCTTACTCCAGTCGAAATGAGTATCTATCTCTTCATTTTCATGTTTTCCCATTGTCTGGCAGGATCCACTACTGAATTCGAATAAAGTTTTTTTTTATCCTACATTGAACTTTTGATGTGGTCCCTAACGTTTCGTAGAAAAGTGTTGTTGACAATGTTAAGGTCACCAGTTATAGCATGGACTGTCGGATTAAATATGAATGGAGAACTTGCACATGTGCAATCAGGTGGTTTAGAAGAAGTTTTAGAAAGAACTCTTTCTCCGTTTCATCTTTTGTCATACCAACTACTAGTCTGAAAAGTCTGTGATGTGCAATATCCAAGATTATAGCTGTAAGCTTGTATCGATTAGAAAGGACATTTTCGACAGAGGTTTCCAAACATAATTTGTATAAAGAATTATGTTTTGAAAGTAGTAGTGAATGTGATGCTTTCCTAAGGGTTTTTTTCATAGAAAAAGGTAGAAGGTAATTTAAGATTAATGATATGGTGGAAATATTTATCTGTTTTACCGAGCTGCAGAAGTAACACGATATAATACCTAAACCCTCAATGTTAGTCATTACAGTCATAAGGTTATACAGATCCAAGTTCCTGAGTCCAGTGGTCTTTTTGTCTACGGAGAGGTGTTACAAGGGGTTAGTCCCGTACGTGTGATATATTTTCGAGGATGAAACCGCGCGAAGTAAGCATTGAATGATCGAAAAGATTAAACTATTGTTCAACAATGTCATTTGTTGTAAATATCTGATTATGACATATGACCGCACATTCGTTTTTTTAATCTATTTTCGTTTCACAGACATTAACTAACACGCAAAGGATCTAATGGTAATTAACTGTTTACAAAACTTTGATTTTTTCAAAATACTAAAGATTTTCTACCTCAGCACTAGATTACCGTAGCTGTATTGGG